AGGACTAGGATTCAGAGCCAGGGCTGCCTTGCTTCAGCTCCTCCTCCTGTTTAGAAAACAACCCTGAATTGCTTTTTTGCAGATGATGGCTTGGAGCTGAGCGTGGCCAACTGTCAGGCACCGGAAGAGGAATTAGGTGAATCTGGACATGCACAGGCCACCAGTCTCCCACACTCAGGGCTCACTGTCTTTGAGGGTGACAGAGGATAACGCACTGTGACAAGCACCATCACAGCAAAGAAATGGAAAAAGCCTGGAGCAGCAAGAGGCTGGGGTGATGATTAATTTTGCTTTGAGGGTAGAAGGAGGGGCCTTGAATACAATGGGTGCTCTTAATGGACTATCCCAACAACCGGCCACTTACAGATGAGGTCTGGGGACACAGAGGCAGTCCCCAGAGCCAAGGTGCATGGAAGCAGTAGCAGTGGCTTGGACCAAAGACTAAAGGAGTCACAGGACCAGTCTTGAAGCTGGGACTCCACCTCTCCAGCAGAGGGTGTAGGGACAGAATATGTAGGCTACAAGGCTCCCTCTGGGGCAGAGTAGCTGGTAGCTGGGCAGTAGGAAGCCAGAGCAGGTTGCTGCAATAGTCAAGAAGAAAGGTGATGAGGCCAAAGGTGGTAGCCAGAGAGATGAGGAAACTCCTCCTCACCAGGGTGGCTGCAGGATGATACAGTCCACTCACAGACAGCATGGATGCAGGAGGACAGACCACGACCCACCGCAATGAAGATGCATGCTGGTGTGGGGAGTACACAGCCTTCCAGCACTTCAAAACAAACCCATGACAAGCATTCTGTCCTTCTGACAAACCTTCCCCATAAGTAAGAGGGAGAAAGACCTGCCAGGCTTGGTGGCTCATACCTGTAATCCCAGCACTTTGGGAGGCTGAGGCAGGCAGATCACCTGAGGTCGGGAGTTCAAGACCAGCCTTACCAACATGGCGAAACCCCGTCTCTACAAAAAATACAAAATTAGCGAGGCATGTGGCACTTGCCTGTAATCCCAGCTACTCTGGAGGCTGAGGCACAATTGCTTGAACCCAAGAGGCAGAGGTTGCAGTGAGCTGAGATCACGCCATTGCACTCCAGACTTGGCAATAAGAGTGAAACTCCGTCTCAAAAAAAAAAAAGGAAAAGGGAGAAGGACCAACTGACCTTCACAGATGCTTCCACTGACCTTCACAGATGCTTCCACTTGCCAGGTACTGTGCAGGGTGCTTCAGATATGCTAGCTCACTTAACCCTCCCCTTTTAAAGACGAGGAAACCAAGGCTCAGAGAGAGAAATTAAATTGTCCCAGGTCAGCCAATTCAGGAAGTGGGTGCATCCAGGGAGCTTGGTTTCACTTCCCCTGGCCTGGCGCCCTCAGAGCCCCACCCTTGGCATCTGAGCAGCGTGGCTCCCATGCCAACTCTACAGGAATGTCATGTCTGGAGGCAAGTGGCCCCTTGCATGGGCATTGGTGTGCAAGCCCAGGAAGGTGAATAAAGTTCACCGAATACAAGTTCCTCCCACCCCAGCAGGAGTCCAGCTTGGCCTCTCCCATGCTGTTCAGGCAAATGTTGGAGGAAAGAAAAGAGGCCTGGCCTCCTATTGGCTTCTGCCTTCTCACCTCTGCCCAGCCCACTTCCTTCTCTCAAAGACCTCAGCAAGACCAGTGGGAGGCTAGGGTCAAGGGAGAACAAAAGGAAGCCTGCATGGACAGGAGTGCAGTTGAGCACCTTCTTTTCTTTTTTTTTTTTTGAGATGGAGTCTCACTCTGTAGCCCTGACTGGAATGCAATGGCGCGATCTTGGCTCACTGCAACCTCCGCCTCCCGAGTTCAAGCGATTCGCCTGCCTCAGCCTCCCAAGCAGCTGGGACTACAGGCCTGCGCCACCATGTCCGGCTAAAATAATTATTAATTTTTTTGTAGAGATGGGGTCTTGCTATGTCACCCAGGGAACTCCTGGGCTCAAGAAATCCTCTCAACTCAGCCTCCCAAAGTGTTGCCATTACAGGCATGAGCCACTGCACCCAGACCAAAATCTGAGTTTTCATTAGAACTTATCTGTGACCCCCCCCTTCCTCATACCATTTCTTGCAAGTGTAGTCTTACAAGAACCTTCTCAAACCCTCTTATGAACATCTCTATCACTGCCTCTCCCACTCAGTTGACAGAATGAACATCTTCTCGGCAGCAAAGACCCAGCTTCCAGGCCCTCCTTGGCCCTGTTTCTTTCTCTAGAGACCCAGGTGACCCGACCTCCCTGCCTGCCTGCGCCACCTCACAAGCCCCACGTCCAGCTGCGTGCACAAGCCCCTCTCTCTCTCTCTCTCTCTCTCTCTCTCTCTCTCTCTCTCTCTCTCTCTCCCACACACACACTTCAGAGGCTCCCAGCGCTCACTTCATGAGGCTTCTCTGGGTCTGCTCTCAACTGCCACCTTTGTCCCTTCCTGCTACTAACCTTTCCCACCCCAGGCTTGGACCTCGTTAGGGAGCTGAACGTGCCCTGCCTTCTCTAGCCCTGCCATCTGCTCTGCTGGGAGCACTCCTCGATGGAAATGCTTCCAGGATCATCTCAGAAGCCATTGCTCCAGTGAAAGCCTTTCCTTGGCCCCCGCCAAACAGTCAAATGGGTCCTTGCTCTGAAACTTTATCTGCCTCAATGAGTAATCCTCAAGGGCTGAGACCCAGAGCAGCTGTTAATGAGTTTTCTTAGGTCCTCTGAAATCTGACACTACTTTTAGAAATTCTGGCAGAGCGAAATCACACCGTTGTTCTCTAGCCTGGGCAACAAGAGTGAAACTCCATCTCAAAAACTAACAATAATAAAAGAAGTTCTGGCCGGGCGTGGTGGCTCACGCCTGTAATCCCAGCACTTTGGGAGGCTGAGGCGGGTGGATCACGAGGTCAAGAGATCGAGACCATCCTGGTCAACATGGTGAAACCCCGTCTCTATTAAAAATACAAAAAATTAGCTGGGCATGGTGGTGTGTGCCTGTAATCCCAGCTACTCAGGAGGCTGAGGCAGGAGAATTGCCTGAACCCAGGAGGCGGAGGTTGCGGTGAGCCGAGATCGCGGCATTGCACTCCAGCCTGGGTAACAAAAGCGAAACTCGGCCTCAAAAAAAAAAAAAAAAAAAAAAAAGAAGTTCTTCCGGCTGGGAGAGGTGGCTGACACCTGTAATCCCAGCACTTTGGAGGCTGAGGTGGGCAAATCATTTGAGGTCAGCCTGGACAACATGGTGAAACCTCATCTCTACTAAAAATACAAAAATTAGCCAGGCGTGGTGGCATGCCTGTAATCCCAGCTACTTGGGAGGATGAGTCAAAAGAATTGCTTGAACCTGGGAGGCGGAGGTTGCAGTGAGCAGAGATCGTGCCACTGCACTCCAGCCTGGGTGACAAGAGCAAGAATCTATCTCAAAAAAAAAGTTCTTGGTAGAAGTTCTGTGCTCCTATGCTGTCCTAACAAGAATTGGTAAGGACAGCATAGAACGCAAGGGGTTGCAAACTTCTGGGCCATGGGCCAGATTTGTCCACAAGTGACAAGATGTTTTTTAATTGAGGTAAAATTTGCATACCATAAAATCAGCCATTTTAAAGCAAACAATTCAATGACATTTGTAATATTCACAATGTTGTGCAACCACCACCTCTATGAGGATCCAAAACATTTTCCTCTTCCCACAAGGAAACCCTATGCTCCTTAAGCAATCACTCTGCCCTTCTCCCTCCCCACAGCCTCTGGCTCTAATCTGCCTTGTGTTTGTATGGATTTGCTTTTTACAAGTGGCATCATTACCTCATGTGGCCTTTTGTGTCTGGTTTCTTTCACTTGCCATAATGTTTTGGAGGTTCATCCATGTTGAAGCAGGTATCATCAGTATTTCATTCCTGTTTTCTTTTTCGAGACAGATTCTTATTCCATCAAACAGGCTGGAGTGCAGTGGCACAATCTCCATTCATTGCAGCCTCTGCCTCTGGGGTTCAAGCGATTCTCCTGCCTCAGCCTCCCAAGTAGCTGAAATTAAAGGCTCGTTCCACCATGCCTGGCTAATTTTTGTGTTTTTAGTAGAGACAGAATTTCGCCATATTGGCCAGGCTGGTCTTGAACTCTTGACCTCAAATGAGCCACCTGCCTCAGCCTCCCAAAGTGGTAAGATTACCGGGGTGAGCCACCACATCCAGTCTTCTTCTTTTTTAAGACAGATATGGGGTTTTGCGAGTTGCCCAGGCTGGTCTTGAACTCCTGGCCTCCCAAAGTGTTGGAAGATTTCAGACGTGAGTCATCACGTGGCCTTCATTTCTTTTTTCTTTTTCTTTCTTTCTTTTTTTTTTTTTTGAGATGGAGTTTTGCTTTTGTTCCCCAGGCTAGGGTGCAATGGCGCGATCTCGGCTCACCGCAACCTCCGCCTCCTGGGTTCAGGCAATTTTCCTGCCTCAGCCTCCCGAGTAGCTGGGATTACAGGCACACGCCACTATGCCCAGCTAATTCCTTCATTTCTTTTTCAGGGCCGAATAATATTCCACTGAATGGATTCATAGTTTGCTTACACCTTCATCAATTGTTAGTTTGAACTGTTTCCACCTTTTGGCTATTTGACTACTATGAGTAGCACTTCTAAGAATATTACTTGTTTGAGGAATGTAATCACTAGGTTATATGGTAACTTTTTGTTTAACTTTTGAATTAGAAACGGTGTTTCAATTTTTCGAACATGAATCCTTTATGTGTCTGTGTCTGTTCCCATGTCTTCCTACTGTCCTACAGTAGGAAGCTCACGACTCATTTACGTAATTTTTCTGGCCCCTGGAGGCACCTGAGTTTGCTGCCCCCAGACTTTGGAGGCAAAAAGAAAATAACTTTGTGCCCAATTCAGCCAGAGTAGTGGGGTAAAGTCTTTCCACTTTTCAAAGTGCTACTGTGGCTCAGCCTCAAAGCGGGGAGATCGTGTTTTCCGGAGAGGAGGCGGCGACAATCCCGGAGGTGAGGGACCTCACGAGCCTCTTCGTTAGGCTGGCCAGGCGAACCGGGAAGGAGGAGGAGCGGGCGGGCAGTGCGCCCTCTGGGGCGTGGGCCGCGCTCTGGGCTGCCCTACCCTCGGGTCCGAGCCCCAGCGCTCAGGGTTGCAGTGACGTGGGCGCAGCCAGCCGGGATTTCGCACCCCACTACCGCGCGGCGCCTCGGCGGGTCCGGGCCGGGGGCGCGGTCGGTGCCGGACGGGGCCCAGGTTGGCTCGGGGGTGGGCGGGCGTTGCCCCCCGGCCCCGCCCCCCACATCCGGGGGCCGGGCCGGGCAGGGCTCTGGGCTCGCAGCGCGCGGTTGAGTCAGGCCGGGTTTTCCCTCCGCCTTTGGGGCAGGCGGGCGAGCGAGCGCCGCGGAGCGCGTCCCTCCCTCGCCAATCCGGCTCCGGCGTCCGCCCGCCCGCGTTTTCCCGGCGCCTGCCGCCCTGCCGCTCCGACCTGGCTCGCAGTCGCGGCTAGAGCCAGCGTTTTGCAGAAGGGTTCAAATCCGCGCGGGGGAGCTGCGACGCGTGGGGGCTGCGGAGCCACGGGCCGGCGAGCGCGTCGCCAGCATGGTAAGCGGGGCGCTCTGGGGGCCGGGACCCGGGGCTGGACTCGGGGGGTGGGGCGGGGCAGGTCTCCGAGGTACGGTTTTCCGGCGTCCTTGGCGAAGGTGCAGACCCCGCTGGCCGAGGCTCCCGTCTGAGAGATGGGCGGGGGTGGCAGGGTGCGGCGGGCGCCCAGGTGTCCCTGCTCCCGGGCAGCTAGGCGCCGGATCGGGGACCGACCCCGATGCTCCGCTGGAGGGGCAAGCGGCAGGCTACCCTGCTCTCCCCAACCCCTGCAAACGCGCTTTCCTGGGAGCAGAGCTTGGGACCCCTGCGCCATGGCTGGGTGGGGCAGGCGTCCTTGGCGCGGGAGTCTGACCTCGGCCTCCGCCCCCCTGCCCAGCCGTCCAGGCAGGCCCCAGGGAGGGGCCAGGAGGAGACGCGCCTCTCTCCCCGCCCCCCAGGTAGCTCCGGGACCTCCCGCAGCTCTGGGGAGCCTTCGCCTTCACCCCTGCTTTTCTAAGAGAAATTCCATGCTGCTACCAACCTTGTTTGCCCCTCCGACTTCCCCACGAAATCTCTCACCTCCCCCTAACACCTTTATCCCCCCAACCCCCTGCCGTGTCCGGGCTGCAGCTACGGGTCTGCGGGTAGGGGACATTCCTAGGTCTTGACCGCCAGAGCACGCGGTCCAGTCCCGGTCATAGCCTTTGGCCAAAGTGAGGGCTGGGGCCAAGCCGAAATCAGGGCCCTGGCAGTCTCCAGAAAGAGAACTGGGACCCATTGTCTCCCACTGGGCCACCCCCTGACCCCAACTACATAGGAACACATTTGGCCTGGCTGTCCTCAGGAGGGAGCAGACGCAGGAGGCCATCCTGGGCGCAGTGATCAGCCTTCTCCCAGGGCCCTCCCGGGCAGGGCTCCTCTACCGGCTGGCAGTATGTGGGTGTGTATGTGCGAGACTGAATGAATGTGGCCAGCCTGCTCCTGCTACCGCCTCTAGAGCTAGAGCTAGCATAGGGACTCCGAGTCCACATGAGGCAGGTTTCCTCTAGTTCTTCCTGACCTGGGGGTCAACAGGAGGCATTCCAGGCTGGGTGGACCACAATCCAGACCAGCCTAGTTGCAGGTGTTCTTGGGAGAAACTTGTGTGGAGGGCCAGGCAGACATACATGCAATACATACACAGCAGTGTGCCCATGGAGGGAACCCGTGACCCCTGGCTGAGGTAGAAGACCTTGCCCAGGGAGTGGAGAATGCTTCTCACAGTGGGGTCCTGGACAACTCACCTCATCTTTCTAGGCCTCGGTTTCCTGATCTGTAAAATAAAGTGAGGGTAATTACTGTCCTGTTTGCCCCCATGAGGCTATTGTGGAGATGAAATGAGATAATGAAATATAGAAGGGCTGCAGCCGGGAAGGCCTATATAGTGATACTAAGCACCACTCCTGCAGGCGTTAGCCCCTGGTCTTTGCCTCAAGTGTCTGTCACAGAGGGGATGGGGTGGGCCAGCCTCTCCCAGCCCCTCTCTGGGCCCCCCTTGCCCACCACCCCAGCTGGGACATTCCAGTCCCATTCCTTAGGGGCAGCTGCAGACACACCCCTTAGCAGAGCTGATCCCCCAGCAGGTGGTGGGACCTTTCCCTGGGGCCAGGGCTCAGGAGGGGCTGACTGTAGTCAGGGCAGGCAGTACTCCTACCCACATGGGGGCTGGGATGTTCCACCCCAGAGGAGATGCAAGGTGGGTTCAGAGAGGACTTCTAGTCCTGGGACCTGTGTGCTTTCTCCCCTGAACATAACCTTAGGTGCATCGATTCACTTTCTGAACCTGTTTCCTCTTGTGAAGTGGGGGAATGCCAGAACTCATCTTCTTGTGAGGATGTGATAGTGCCCTTTGTCTGGCCTGACCCAAAAAAGTACCCACTAACAGGCTCTGGGACACCCCCCCACCCCCCAACCCCTGGCCAAGGAAAGCACGTCCTCTCTCTGCTTCCTGGCCAGCCAGGGCAGCTGTGTTCACCAAGGATTGGTCCGAAAGAGATTCCTCTCTGTGTCCAGGGATTCCAGTGCTGTCCACTAATTTTGGGGACTGGAAATGGGTGAGGGGACTGGTGGTGGGGAGCAGGAGTGAGGCCTTATTGGGGCCAACTGGGATCTGCATAGAATGTGGCTTGAGTGTCCCAGCCCAAATCTAGCCAGCTGGGTGGTTGGGGGCTTGCAGCTCCCAGGACAGGGAAGCCCAGGCACTTGACTTGCCTCCTACCGACCCGTGCAGGGCCCCCGGCTTTTTGCTCTGATGTTGCAGTGAGGCTGCAAGGCACTTGCTCTCTTCCCCTCCTCCTCCCCCACCAAATCCTCTCCAGCCTGTACAGCCGCCCTGCCCTGAGCAGGCAATCCCTGGGCTTCCAAGCAACAGGAAGGAAGGAATGCGTGATGGGGGAGGGGGTGGAGGTGGGGTGGACCCCTTTAGGAAAAGAGACTGTCCCCATTCTGTGACATAGGCAGGGAGGAGCGTCCTGAAACCTGGGGGCCTCAGCCCTGCTGGGGGAGCTGATAATACAGCCAGAGAAATCAGCCAGGAGAGGCAGAGTGGGGAAGGTGGGGGCCTAAGGAGAGACAAAGGGAAGGGGCTGTCTGCTGCTCCTTCACTAGCCTAGGAGCTGGGAAGGACACCTGGGTCATCATCGGGCTGCTGCTATTCTGTCAGTGTGTCCTGAGAGGTTCTCAGTGCTGTGGTGACCTTGTGCACGGCTGGATGATGGTGTTTGCTGCTGGACGTGACTGCACTGTGTCCTCTAACATGGGTTCTGTGCTGCTGGGTGGGGCTGACATGTGGCACACCGTGTGGTGAGTGTGGTTGTATGCACTGTTGTGGCCATGGCTACCTCTAGCTCAAGGACTCTCCCTGGACCTGAGACGCTTCATGGAGAACATGGGGTGTCGGTTCTGTCTCCCTGAGACGGGAAGTGAGCATCTGCCCAAGGGAAGCTGAGGCGGTGTGCATCTGGGGTGAGGTGGGCATATTTGGTACTGCTGCCAACGTCCCCATCCCCAGGGCCACACAGGACTTACAGTTCACAAGCCCTTTCACCTCCATTTCTGACTGTCAGTAATCCTTTGAGGAAGGCCAGGCAAGCAGAGTCTTTCCCACATTATTTATTGTTTTTCCTTTTTTAAAAGAAATAGAGATGGGGTACTGCCATGTTACTGAGGTTTTCAAACTCCTGGGCTCAAGTGATTCTCCTGCCTCAGCCTCCCAAAGTACTGGGATCACAGGCATAAGCCACCATGTCCAGCCCTTTCCCACTTCAGGGATGCAGAAACTGAGGGATGGCAAAAGGCAGAGCATTTGTGTCTTCTGTCCCCTGGAAAGAGTGAGGGCGGGCTGGAGAGCAGGTCTCTGCTGTCCCCTCCCCAAGAAGCAGCAACAGGAGTTGAGTGTGCTCAGGGACAAACCACCCACGGCTCAAGCTGGAGTGGGCTTGTTGTGGGGAGGAGGTATCAGACGAGGAGACAGGATGCTTCCATTCCAATACTTGTGGCTGTAGGTGGTAACATCCTAGGTCCCTGATAGACGTTGGGCAGCCCTGACCAGCTGTGACCTTGGGCAAGTCACTTCACCTTTCTGATCCCCACTGACCTTACCTTTAAGAAAGATCAGTAGCTGGGCATGGTGTCATGCACCTGTGGTTCCCCTACTCAGGAGGCTGAAGTGGGAAGATTCCTTGAGCCCAGGAGGTTGAGGCTGCAGTGAGCCATGTTTGCACTACTGTACTCCACCCTGGGTGATGGAGTAAACAGCAAGACCCTGTCTCAAACAAAAGAAAGAAAGAAAGAAAGAAAGAGAAAGAAAGAAAGGGACAGGACTCAGTGGGACCCCTATGCAGGGCCGAGTCGCTGTGAACCCAGCGCCTGTGATTCCTTAGCTGAATGCATCCCCTATGTGTCCTGCAATGTCTGTTCTCTGGGGCTGGGCTGGGTGTGCTGTACAAATCCAGATTCACCCCATCTTGGGTCTGGGGGTTGGTGGAGAGAGAGCTGAGGTCATTTTTGCCTAGGTGAGGTGAGGCTGTGGGGTTTGGGCAAGTCCCCCTCCCAAAGAACTTTGTCTTCCACGAACACAAAACCTGGAAATGGTTGAGGAAGATGGAGCCTCCTAACGACCATTGTTCAGGGCAGGAGTGGGTGTCCCGGAAGCATGGGTGGTAGTAGGGGACTCACAGCTGTAGCCTGCCTGCTGGGCTTCTGTTCGAGGATGGGAACAGCTGCTCGGGGGCAGGAGGCAGAGAAAGTGGCATTCGTTCATTTGGCCAGACCTTTCTGCACATCCGCTCTAGGGTGGGCACTGGGCTGTGCACAGGATCCCCTAGGGACTAGGTACCAGCCCTGCCTCCAGAGTATGTGGCCCAGTGCAGGTGGGAGACAGTCCATCAGCCTGGTCCCTTGGCAATGTTTGTGTGCCTGGCTGAGCTTGGCTCCAGCCAGCCTGTTGACCCTGGCTATGGCCCAGAGCCTGGACTGGGTGTCATGTTATCCCACCCCATTCTCCCAGCATCTTGGTGATAACTGTTATCACCAGGTGTGCATGCGGAAGCCCAGGCTCACTGAGGTTAGTGGCTTGGCCGGGGTCACATGCCGACTGGATTGGTTCTGCCAGGGTTAGGATTTGGGACCCACCCTGCTAGGCTTTGGAGTAAGACCATATGCAAGGACTGGCGTGAGTCCAGCTGCCCCTTCCTCTCCCTCCCACCACTGCTCAGACGTGAGCACCTGTTCCGGAAACTATGGCCATTGTTCATGTCATCCTTCTTCCTTTTGGGTCCTTCCTGTTTGTATCCCTCCCACCAAAGCCCCCAACCACACCCGTGCCAGATGTTTCCCTTGGGGAGCTTTGACCCTTTGCAGGAAGAGGGGCTGCAGGAGTTATCCCTCTCCCATGGGAAGGAGGAGGAATGGAGAGTCCCACTGGTCCTGGGTCTCTGTGGCTTCTCCCCACCCAACAAATTTGGTGGGGAATTTGGCAGGGGGGTAAACAAGGTCAGGTTCAGCCAGGCTGAGTCCGTCCTCCTTAGCCCTATGCGGGCACAGTGCTGGGAGGAGGGCTTCCATCCTGCTGCTTCTGGGCCTGTCCCCTCCCCGTACCTCTGAATCCTGCATAGGCCCCTAAGTGGAACTGGCCCTTCTGTGCACGGCTAGAGCACCATTGCACTTCCTTAGACTCTTTCCAGCGGAGTGTCAGATGGGCAGGTGGCTTTGGGGCCTATACTTCTTTCTCTTGCCAGTATAGGGATCCTATCCTGGGGTTCTCTCTTGGACCCACATCTGCCTCTCCTGGGCCTGAGCCAGGTTGTGGGGAGCTACAGGGAGCAAGCGCCTTGTTTTCAGGCCCCAGGGAAGTTGGGCAGCCAGTGCCCACCTGCCCCTAATGGAGCCTCCCAATTCCCAGAAGCAGCTGCCTGTGCCCTGTTGAAACTTCATGGCCACAGCCCCAGGCCCTGCTGGCATTGCCATGGGCAGCGTGGGCAGCCTGTTGGAACGGCAGGACTTCTCCCCTGAAGAGCTGCGGGCAGCACTTGCTGGGTCCCGGGGCTCCCGCCAGCCTGATGGCCTCCTCCGGAAGGGCTTGGGCCAGCGTGAGCTCTTCAGCTATCTGCACCTCCCCAAGAAGGACGGCAAGAGCGCCAAGCGGGCCCCTCGGAACGAGCCTGCCGACTATGCCACCCTCTACTACCGGGAACATCCTCGGGGGGGTGACTTCAGCAAGACTTCGCTGCCGGAGCGGGGTCGCTTTGACAAGGTGTGCCTCTGGCCAAGCCCTTTACCAGGTGTGGGGAGGGTGGGGTCTCCTTAGAGACCCTGATGATGGGATGGGGTGGGGACAGGGGTTGCTGAGATACGAAAATCATGCTATGGGCTGGCCTCCTGAGGCTTGGTTGCTGCCTCCCAGTGGCACGCCCCGCAGTCTTGAAGAGAATCCCTCAAGGGCTTTGGGAGCATTGGAAGGTAGAGCAGCAGCTGCCCAGGTCTCACACCTGCCCTCTCTTCCTGGCAGTGCCGCATCCGCCCCTCCGTGTTCAAGCCTTCGGCGGGCAATGGGAAAGGCTTCCTGTCCATGCAGAGCCTGGCGGCCCACAAAGGCCAGAAGCTGTGGCGAAGCAATGGCAGCCTGCACACGCTGGCCTGCCACCCGCCCCTGAGCCCCGGCCCCCATGCCAGCCAGGCCCGGGCACAGCTGCTGCATGCCCTCAGCCTAGACGAGGGCGGCCCGGAGCCCGAGCCCAGCCTGTCTGACTCCTCCAGCGGGGGTAGTTTCGGCTGCAGTCCTGGTACTGGCCCTAGCCCCTTCAGCTCCTCCCTTGGCCACATTAACCACCTTGGGGGCTCCCTGGACCGGGCCTCTCGAGGACCCAAGGAGGCTGGGCCACCAGCTGTGCTGAGCTGCCTGCCCGAGCCACCACCCCCCTACGAGTTCTCCTGCCCCTCTGCTGAGGAGATGGGAGCCATGCTGCCTAAGACCTGTGAGGAGCTCAAGAGGGGACTTGGTGATGAGGTCGACTCCAACCCCTTCACGCAGGTGAGGGAGCCCCTGCCCTGGAGTCCTGTTCTGTGCCTTAGCACTGGGAAACAGGCCAGAGAGAGGGGTCCCAGCCAGCTCACCCACGTGGCTGTGGACACAAGACAGCAAGAAAGAGAGCTGTCTTGGCTTCCTTCCCCTGCATCCAGGTGGTGGGGATGTCATGCTCATGTCACTGGGGGTCCTTGCCCGAGAGTTGTGTGGGAAGGAAGGAGAGAGGCTCCCTGGGAGGGCCATGAGATGGGGACACCACACCTCTGGAGGACATCCCGGGTTAAAGTGCATGGCATAGGGTCACAGGACATGATCAGTGGCCAGAGGTGCATGGTGGATGCATCTCTTCCCCTTGACAGGTGTTGGAGGAGCGCCAGCGGCTGTGGCTGGCTGAGCTGAAGCGCCTGTATGTGGAGCGGCTGCATGAGGTGACCCAGAAGGCTGAGCGCAGCGAGCGCAACCTCCAGCTGCAGCTGTTCATGGCTCAGCAGGAGCAGCGGCGCCTGCGAAAGGAGCTGCGGGCTCAGCAGGGCCTGGCTCCAGAGCCTCGGGCCCCTGGCACCCTCCCAGAGGCCGACCCCAGTGCACGACCAGAGGAGGAAGCCCGATGGGAGGTGAGAGTTGCCACAGGGCTCAGAGACTCTACTATCTCCATTGTCATTCCCTTCCTCTGCCTGCCCCTCCTAAACCAGCTCCCCACAGCCTACTTTGCTTGCGTCCTCCCCATCCCCCAGGTGTGCCAGAAGACAGCAGAGATTAGCCTCTTGAAGCAGCAGCTGCGGGAAGCCCAGGCAGAACTGGCCCAGAAGCTGGCCGAGATCTTCAGTCTGAAGACGCAACTTCGGGGCAGCCGTGCACAAGCCCAGGCTCAGGACGCAGAGCTGGCCCGGCTTCGAGAGGCTGTGCGCAGCTTGCAGGAGCAGGCCCCTCGGGAGGAGGCTCCAGGCAGCTGTGAGACTGATGACTGCAAGAGCAGAGGCCTGCTGGGGGAGGTGGGAGGCAGCGAGGCCAGGGATGATGCTGAGCAGCTGCGGGCTGAGCTGCTGCAGGAGCGACTTCGGGGCCAGGAGCAGGCACTGCGCTTTGAGCAGGAGCGGCGGACTTGGCAGGAGGAGAAGGAGCGTGTGCTGCGCTACCAGCGGGAGATCCAGGGGGGCTACATGGATATGTACCGCCGCAACCAGGCACTGGAGCAGGAACTTCGGGCACTGCGGGAGCCCCCTACACCCTGGAGTCCCCGGCTTGAGTCCTCTAAGATCTGAGTCCTGCAGAGCGAGCTGACAGCAGAAACACTGTCAGAAGGTGCCCTGAGATGGCTGGCTCAGCCCTCCCTTACACTGGTTGGGGTGGAACCTGCAGAGGCCAGCCCAGGGCTGGGGAGTCGCAAGGAGAGGAGGGATCTGGTGGGGCCATGGGCTGGGTAGAATGCCTCAGCAGGAGCCAGGACAAGGCCCTCCTGGCAGAGGAGCACCTAGGCAGGGCCCAGCCCTGCTCCCTGGAGTGGGTGTGGCCCAGAGAAGGAGGCTGGGGGATCAAGAGCCCCAAGGTCCTGAAGGGCAGGTGAGAGGGAGGGAGGCTGGAGACTGGACTGGGGCCTTCCTCCGTGGAAGGAGGCTGGAGTGGGAATATTGGCCTCTCCCAGAATAAAATAACGTTTTCTACCAGGAAGCCCAGGGAATATGCTGAGCCTGTCCCTGGCCTGAGACCAGGGAATGATGGATGGTTGGAATTAAGGCCGTTCACCTGGGCAGTAGCCCCTCCCATGGCAATGATCAGTGGGAGGGCCTACCCTGTACCTGTCTGCGTGGCTGCTAGGTGTGTGTGTTGGGAGCGGAGGAATCCTGCTCCTTGCCTCAGCCCCACACATTTCCTTAGCTGCCGCGTGGGTTGAAATTCCTTTCTTTAGCACCAGTGCATTTTTCAGAAGGAACAATACCAGGGAACACCAAGAAAACAAAGGGCGAGTCAACCAAGGCATTTTGAGAACTTGAAATGTTTTCTTGGTGGGAAATCTGGGCTCCAGGTGCTTGGGGTCAGCCTGACAGCTACTGCTGGAGTATACACAGGTTCAGGCCCTGCCCCTCCCAGAACCCACCTCCTGTCTCTCTGACTGTAGTGTGCCCCTTCCTCCATAGGAGTAGGGGACCCTAGGAATGGAGGGGCCAGGAAGGATCCTTCCTGGCCCCTCCCTCTGCCCCATGCTGCACTCCTAGGAAGGTATAGGAGGAGAGGTGGGAAAGCTTGTGGGTTTCTTGGGAAAGAGCCTTTACCACACAAGGAATGGGAACGTTTCCCCCATCAGCTATAGGGCATTATTAAGTAGGGGTGAAATATGATTGGTTTGCATTCTGGAAAGCTCTCCCAGGAGGAAGCGTTCCACAAACTGCCTTGCCTCTGTCTTACACTGGACTCCAGGACTGTCCAAGCTCCCAGATCCCTGCTCTCAGCTAAGGCTGGTCTGTAAAACCCACACCTGCCCCTGGCCTCTCAGAGGCCTGGCTTGCCCTCTGGGCCTTTGCTTCTCTGCTGAGTGCCTGGGTCTGGAACACAGGTTTAGTGTAGCTGTGCAAGTGGTGTCTCCCCATTCCTTTGCGGGGAGGCTCAGCTTCCTTACCCACTCATCGGTGGCAGTGCATGCTGACTGTGCACCAGGTGCTGTGTTGGGCCCTGTGAGTGTGGGGGCACAGGGTGAATTAGATGAGCCCTGCCCCAGGGGGCCTGCATGCTGATGTCAGCTCACCAATTCCTTCCCTGACAGGGCAACTCAGGGAATTTTTGAGAAGTTGTCTGCAGAGAGCCCCAGGTCACTCCCTTTGGCTACCCTGGCCATGCCTGGCAGCCCCTCAGGGCCCACAGGTGGGTCCTGGTTGTGAAATGGAGTTAGTGTGCATGGATGTTGGGGGAGGGGTATGAAGCATAAGTTGGGGGACCCTGCCTTTTCAGGACAGAGTGAAGTGTGTACACTGCCTGCTGTGGGGATGGTGTGTTTATAGCCTGTAAGTGGCAGGTGTGTGTAAAGATGTGCTTGTGGGTGGTGGGTGTGTCTGAGGGGGTGTGTTTGGGAGCCCAGCCTCCAAAAGCCAGCTTCTGGGTTGGAGACCGTGCAGGCTCCTTCCGAGCCCCACCCGCTGCCCATTCCTTCCTGTCAGTCCCAGTCTGTCTTGGCACTGGCCAGGCTTGGGTGGAGCCTGTGTCCCAGACAGACCCCTAGGCCTAGCTGAGACCCATGCAGGCCCACACATGAGCTGTCTACCTGAGGAGGGAAAGGGGGTGTGCCCAGGTCAGGCAGGCCAAACTCCTACACACCCACTTTACCCATTCCCATTTCACAAACTCCTCCACACCCCAAACGGAAATCTTTGGGACAATGGTTTCTCCAGAGGGCCCCTCAGAGCCAAGTGCTGACCAGATGCCTGATCACACCCTCCATGGCCAGGGGCTGGTCAGGCCATGTGCCCTCACACCTGGTGCCAGGGTCCACCTCGGTTTACCAGCTCTGCAGAACAGTTCCCCACCCAGCAATTAGGGAGCTGGGCTGGCCAGTACAGCTAGTGGGGAGTGGGTGGGCGGTACCAAAACTTGGCAGCTGTGCCAGAAACCAAAGCCAGGCCCAGATGTAGGGGGAGGCACCAGAGGAACCTGGGGTGTCTTGTAGCCAGAGCCGCATCCTGTCAACTCATCCAGGCTGGACAAACCAGTTCCTGGGTCCCCCAGCCGGCTGGGTGGCTCTGGGGCCAGCCGACCACAGGTGTCACTGATCACAGGTGTCACTGCAGTGGCTACCACCTCAGGGCAGCCCTTCCCACTTGCTGGCAGGGCCTCAGCTCCCCAGCTGCCCTGGTTCATCTTTGTAGTCCCTCCCCAGCAGGCTTGGCCCAGGCAGCCAGCTCTGCAGAAGGTGGCTGCCTCCTGCTGCTGGGCTCCCTGCCTCTGGGGCCTCCAGTCCTCCACTCAGTGTCAACCCTTCCAGCAGCTCTCTGGACCCCTCGGCCCGTCCCTTGAGGCTTCTGACACACTAGTGGCCTCTGGTCACTTATAGTGGTGCCTCCTTCCAACCTTGGCAGGCCCTTGTAGCCCTCTGAGATCTCATCCTCCAGACAGAGCCCCACGGTGCTCAGAGAAACCTCCCCTGCCTGGGCACTCCCTCCTCCCTGAGCCCACAGCCCCCATGCATCGCTCTGACCTCTTTCCGTGCTGCTCTAATTGTTGGTTTGCCTCCGTCCCCTTCAAGCTGCAGGCATTGCAAGGGTAGGGCGGTGTCTTCACTGCAGCTCTAGAAGGCACTGGTGGGATGTGCAGTCAGGAGCAATCAGAGCTCCCCCTTACTAGAATGGGCTTGAACTTGCGGTGGGGTGGGTGGGGAAGACACTCTGAATGTTCATTCACCGTTCGTGGGTACTGGGTCTGTGTCAAGCACAGGGACTCCAAGGCCAGCTGCCATTCATTCCGGTGATGTATTCGGGGCCCTTCTCAGATGAAGAAGCCAAAGTGGTCAAGGCCCTCAGGCCCCTGCCCTGGTGGGGCTTACCTGTGGCTGGGGGAGGGAGACCACACAGGTTGGAGATAGTAAAGGCCACTCCAAATAGTGACTGGGGCCAGGCAGGAGGTAAAGAGAACAGAGAAGAATCCAGAAGTGCTAAGACAGGCCTAGGGACAACAGAGGGGCCCCATGGTGGTGAGTGGGTCAGCAGAACATGGAACAGGCAGAGGAAGCCTATATGTGGGAGCCCAGGTACATTTCCCTGAGACTAAGGGGATATCGATGTTAGGGGTTTCTACAAAGAGGGCGCAGGCCCTGCAGTGACAGTTCAAGTAGAGATAACCCATCCCCCCGGTGGCTGGGGGCTTAGGCCTCCATATTGGATTCAGAAAGGAAAAAGTGATGTTTCTCGAAACAAAAACAAAAGTGATGATGTCACAAGAGGAGAGGTTGGAGGCCCATGGGCGTTTCCAGCTGACTCACTCATCTGTCCCAGGCATTGGGGTGGCAGGTAAGCTTCCCTGAGGCGGCGAAGGCCAAGGTGGCCTTCGCTAAGATTTGAGGGATTTCTCTGGGAGCAGTAGGGGATGAGGGCATTCCCAGATGGACCCGGACTTGGACACAGGGAAATGTGGGGCATGTCCCAGGGAGGCGTCCTCTCTGGAAGTGGGTAGGAACCAGCAGACCGTGGACAGCCTAGGAAGCTGCCAATGCAAGGGCCAGAACCAGTGTGTGCAGTGTGTGTGATCTGTGCAATCACGCAGGGCCCCTCAGTCAGAAGGGCCATGCACTTGGGGTAATGCTGTGCCATCACTATCACAGACTTCTTAAGAATGTTTGGACAAATGGTCTCATGGTTTTATTTTTCTCTGGGTCTACTTAGAGTTTTGACAAATGCAGTTATGTAACCAACCTGACAATGAAGAAGAATAGTTTTGTCACCCCCGCAGCATTCTCCTGTGGCCCTCTAGTCCACCCTGCTGCCCCACCCCAGCCCCTGGCAATCACTGATCTGCTTTCACAAAAACTGTATGGGTATTTTTCTCTTTCCTTTCTGTGAGCAGTGTTTAATTCCTTTGCTCTAATATGTAATATTAGAATGTTACAAAGTAGCAAGAAGAATACAACATTGGTGTAAAAATAATCTACACCTTATGGAAAGAATGAAGAGCCAGAAATAGATTCTATTCTCTAGAAAATCTTACACAATAAAGGACTTTAAAACAAGGGTAAGGAAGGATTCTGTAACAAGAGGTACTGGGATAATTGGAAAAAAATAAGTCATACTTTGCATCACCACTGCATTTATTTATTTATTTATTTATTTATTTATAGATGGAGTTTCGCTCTTTCAATGGCGCGATCTCAGCTCACCGCAACCTCCACCTCCTGGGTTCAGGCAATTCTCCTGCCTCAGCCTCCTGAGTAGCTGGGATTACAGGCACACGCCACCATGCCCAGCTAATTTTTTGCATTTTTAGTAGAGACGGGATTTCACCATGTTGACCAGGATGGTCTCGATCTCTTGACCTCATGATCCACCCGCCTCAGCCTCCCAAAGTGCTGGGATTACAGGCTTGAGCCACTGCGCCCAGCCTTATTTTTATTTTTATTATTTTTTTTGAGACGGACTCTCACTCTGTTGCCCAGGCTGGAGGACGGTGAGAGAGATCTTGGCTCACTGCAATCTCCACCTCCTGGGTTCAAGCAATTCTTCCGCCTCAGCCACCCCAGTAGGTGGGACTATAGGCATGTGCCATCATGCCCGGCTAATTTTTTGTAGTTTTAGTAGAGGCAGGGTTTCACCGTATTAGCCAGGATGGTCTCGATCTCCTGACCTCATGATCTGCCCACCTTGGCCTCCTAGAGTGTTGAGATTACAGGCGTGAGCCACCTCGCTCGGCCCTGCATTTATTGAGTTAAATTTTAAAAATTCTATCCTAGGAAATTGGTGTTGGTGCTCAGAAAATGATACCTCTAAGTACGGAGCTGTGGCAGGCTGAATGCTTTGAACTAAAGTCTCTGACCGTCCATTGCTCACTCCTCTTCCCTCCCAAACCCTCCTGAAACACAGGGAGGGGCCCTCTCTAAAGTTTGCTTATCTTTCTAAGGGAAGTTCCTGCAGAAAGAATGCCATTGCCCCTTCCCTATCATCTCATAAAACATGGAAGATTAACTCACAGGAAAGGAGACTGAAGTTGATACTATCTATTCTGAGGACTGGGCTACTTGAGAGATTTTATCTGCATGATAAGATGGCATTTGCTTGCCATACATTTCCTCCCCTCAACAACCCATCATTGTGGCCACCTCCTAGAAACCCTAAGCCCCAGTTTCTGGAGCTCAAATGCTATTTAGACTTCATCAATCTGGCCCTTACTTGTGTCGTATTTTGTGGGACTCCTGTGCATATATGTAATAAATTTGCATGCCTTTTCTCCTGTTAATCTGTCTACTGTCAATTTTATTCCAGAGACTCAAATTATTGAACCTTCAGAGAATACAGGGAATGTTTAAAATTTCTACACTGGCAAAAAGTGAATTGGATCATTGCTGAATTGATGGAGAATTGATTGATTTGAAGGAATCCTCCCCATCCCTAACAAAAAACAAAAACACAATCCCTATGAGGAAAGACTGACAAAATGAACTTTTTTTCCCTTTTTTTGTTATTCAGTCTCCGTAGAGACTGTCAAAAATTGCCAATGCCAACTATATTTCAAGTCGTGATGGCAGGTATTGGGAAAAGTTTTCAATCAGAAATAATTGCGCCTCAGATAAACCTCATTGGCTACGATACTGCCACTGCGCAAAGCTATGAAATGAACTATTTAATACAACTTGGTGCACACTTGAAAATAACAATACCAAGATGCAAGGATGGCCACATATGGAAGTGGGGGGAAGAACCCCAACTTTGATGACATCCATCTTGGCCGTGAGGCAGGCCAAGGCTGATGTGAGAGGAAGTGGGGAATCCTGGGGTGTTTGCCAAAGCCTGTGAGATCAGGCTGGCTGGGAGGCGGCTTGGGCCCCTTGGCCCCAGGCAAGGTTCCATCAACTCTCCATCCCTGTGGCTTCCTGGGCCAGGGCCACCCAGACTTCTCATGCTTGGACAGGCACCTCCGGGAGGGGTCATCCCAATGCCCCTTCGGGCACACAGTCCTGCTGTGGGCCTTCTCCTTTGCTGTATATCATAAGGTTTTTGAGCCACGGTTTCCTCATGTATACGTGGAGGACATTGGCTTCTCAAGTATCTGAGTACCTTCTGTGTGCCAAGCATGTGGTGTTGGCCATCAGGCAGTGATGAATACAAAGCCTAGACCCAGTGGAGTTTTTTGTTTTTGTTTCGTTTTGTTTTGAGACAGGGTCTCACTTGGTTACCCAGAGTGCAGTGGCACAATCTCAGCTCACCACAACCTCTGGCTCCCAGGCTCAAGCGATTCTCCTGCCTCAGCCTCCTGAGTGGTTGGGGTTACATGCACCTGCCACTATGCCTGCCTAATATTTTTATATTTTTTGTACTTTTAGTAGAGATGGGATTTCACCATGTTGGTCAGGCTGATCTTGAACTCCTGACCTCAAATGATCCACTAGCCTCAGTCTCCCAAAGTACTGGGATTACAGGCATCATGCTCCTGGCCCCTGTTTGTCTGTTTTTGAGACAGGGTCCCTTACTCTGTTGTCCAGGCTGGAGTGCAGTGCCACAATCATGGCTCACTGCAGCCTCAACCTCCCAGGCACAAGCAGTACCCCCAGCTCAGCCTCCCAAGTAGCTGGGGCTACAGATGTGCACCACCACACCGGCTAATATTTGTATTATTTGTAGAGACAAATAACATTTGTATTATTTGTATATGTCATCCAGCCTGGTCTAGAACTCACAGGCACAAGCATTCATCCCTCCTCAGCCTCCTAAAGTGCTGGGATTATGCCTGGTCCCAAAGAGGGTGATGGGAGTAGGGGCCAAAAGACAGAATGAACAAATAAACATACAAGATAACTTCAAGTCCAGTGCTATAAAGAAAGGTCAGCCAGGCGCAGTGGTTCATGCCTATAATCCCAGCACTTTGGGAGGCTGAGGTGGGTAGATCACAAGGTCAGGAATTCGAGACCAGACCAACCAATATGGTGAAACCCTGTCTCTACTAAAAATACAAAATTAGCTGGGCATGGTGGCATGCACCTGTAATCCTAGCACTCAGGAGGCTGAGGCAGGAGATTCGCTTGAACCCAGGAGGCAGAGGTTGCAGTGAGCTGAGACTGCGCCACTGCACTCCAACCTTAGGAGACAGAGCCAGACTCCATCTCAAAAAAAAAAGCAGGTCAGCCAGTCACAGTGGCTCGCTCACACCTGTAGTCCCAGCACTTTGGGAGGCTGAGGTGGGCAGACCACCTGAGGTCAGAAGTTTGAGACCAGCCTGGCCAACATGGTGAAACCCCATTTCTACTAAAAATACAAAAATGAGCTGGGGGTGGTGGCCCATGCCTGTAATCTCAGCTACTCATGAGGCTGAGGCAGGAGAATCGCTCCAAGCTTGGAGGTGGAGTTTGCAGTGAGCCAAGATCATGCCACTGCACTCCAGCCTGGTCAACAGAGCAAGACTGTGTCTCAATTAAAAAAAGAAAGTTCAGTCTGGGCCTGGGTTTGGGTCAGCACCTCTTCTCTCCTTCTTCCTAACCCTCACCCTTCCTCCTTAGGGCAGATGTGCAACTTCCAGCTTCTCCCCTTCCCTGCTTCTCCAGGATAGCGACCAACAGAAGGTGGCCTGGCCAGGCTGGATCCCCTCCCCTCCTCCGCAGAACGGATGGAAAAAAGTTTGCTTTCTTTTTTTTTTTTTTTTGAGACGGAGTTTCATTGTTGTTACCCAGGCTGGAGGCTGGAGTGCAATGGCAACGATCTCGGCTCACCGCAACCTCCGCCTTCTGGGTTCAAGCAATTCTCCTGCCTCAGCCTCCCGAGTAGCTGGGACTACAGGCGCGCACCACCATGCCCAGCTAATTTTTGTACTTTTTAGTAGAGACGGGGTTTCACCTTGTTGACCAGGATGGTCTCGATTTCTTGACCTCGTGATCCACCCGCCTCGGCCTCCCAAAGTGCTGGGATTATAGGCGTGAGCCACCGCGCCCGGCAAAAAGTTTGCCTTCTTTAAGCATCACTTGATCTTTCTTTCTTTTCTCTCTCTCTCTCTCCATTCTTTCCTTCCTTCCTTTCTTTTTCTTTCTTTCTTTCTTTCTTTTTTTTTTTTTATGGGGACGGAGTATCACTCTTGTTGCCCAGGCTAGAGTGCAGTGGCGCGATCTCGGCTCACCGCAACTTCTGCCTCCCGGGTTCAAGTGATTCTCCTGCCTCAGCCTCCCGAGTAGCTGGGACTACAGATATGCGCCACCACGCCCGACTAAGTTTGTATTTTTTGTAGCGATGGGGTTTCTCCATGTTGGTCAGGCTGGTCTCGAACTCATGATCTCAGGTGATCCACCCGCCTCGGCCTCCTAAAGTGCTGGGATTACAGGCGTGAGCTAGCGCGCCCGACCATCACTTGATATTTCAAGAGAGCACTGCGGGCACAGTCCAGCCGCCGCCCCTCACAGCCCGCGCCGCTCTCAGGGCTGGCAGCGCGGGAGACGTAACCACTTGGGGATTGGGACCCGGGAGCCAGGCACTGACTGGGTCTAGTACGGGGCCGAGGCCGCCTCTGCCAGGTGGGGAACCCGCCTAACGGCGAGGAGCGGTCGGGACCAGCAGCTTCCAGGCCGGAGGGACTCGGCACTAGGAAGCGACCGGGCGTGGTTTCCCTGGCCTCCGCCAGGCTCCCGCAGGCAACTCCACTCGGCACGCGCGGCGGGGAGGCTCGGCGGCCGGGCGCAAAGCCGCGCGGGCCCGTGGGACGGCCACCCCTCCGCGAAACGTCAGTGGGCGGGCCCGGGCCGAGGATCAACCGCCGCAGCTTCCGGTTCCGATGACAGCGGCGCTGGAAGCCGGGGCCAGGGCTACTGGGCGAGGTGAGAGCGGGCGGGCTCGGGGGCCGGCTGGTGCGGGCGGAGGGCGGGCGCGGCGGCCGGCAGAGCTGAGGCGCACAGCCGGGACAGCTCGGCCGGCCTCCCAGGCCCCAGCCTTCTCCGGAACCCCTGGTATCTCCGACTAAGCCCCGAACACTCTGCCCCTGGGCTTGTTCTTTTTGCAGTTGTCGGTCCCGGGCCGGGAGCTGGAGTCCCAGACTCATAGGTCCCGGCCCAGCCCTCGAAGAGCCGCCTCTGCCGGGGTAGTCGCTCGGCCTGAGTCCAGTCGTCGTGCTACGGCGCTGGGTCGGAGGTGAGCAGGTGCGCACAAGGCTCAGCAGGGCATTGGAGCAGGGTCTTTGGAAGGATGACTGGGAGTTTGCCTGTCGTTTGCATGTTAATGCGGGTGAAACTCCCAGTAGGCGCTGCAGTCCAGGGACAATGGTGGGCTTTTTCCTCCCTCCAGTTTTGGTTAATGATAAAAGAAAGATTAGAAACTTCAAGTATGGCTGTGTAGTAAAAAAATGAAGAGGGCGACAGGACAGGTTAACTGGTGTGAGGGTGGGGCAGAGGGGTGGTCAGCATTAGATACTGTGGTCTACTGCACAGCATCTTTGAAGATGTGACATTTGCGTTGAGACCCAAATTAGGAGGCAGTCACAGGAAGATATGGGGAGAGAGTGGTCCAGGCAGCGGGAACAACCAGTATGAAGGCCCTGAGGCAGATATTAACTGGGAGTAGTCAAGGAACAGAAAGCAAGCTAGTGTGACTGGAGTATGGCAAGAAAGAGAGTGGTAGCAGATGAGGTCAGAGAGTTGCGGTTTGCTCACATAACATAGAGCCTGTAGGTGGTAGAAAGGAACCTGGAGATTTTTCTAAGTGGAAAAATCTTTTGGTTTTAAGCAGAGGAGTGACATATAGGGTAGAGAATGGATAGAGGTGGCGGCTGTAAAAGCATAAGAATTGGCTGGGCACAGGGGTTCACGCCTATAATTCCAGCACAGGAATTACAGGAGGCCGAGGCTGGCAGATGGCTTGAGCTCAGCAGTTCAAGACCAGCCTGGCTAAACATGGGGAAACCCTGTCTCTCCAGAAAAATTAGGCTGGGCACTGTGGCTCACACCTGTAATCCCAGAAGTTTGGGAGGCCGAGGCAGGAGGATCACTTGAGACCAGGAGTTGGAGACCACCCTAGCCAACATGGTGAAACCCCATCTCTACTAAAAATACAAAAATTAGCTGGGCATGGTAGCAGGTGCCTGTAATTCCAGCTACTTGGGAGGCTGAGGCAGGAGCATCGCTTGAAACTGGGAGGTAGAAGTTGCAATAAGCCAAGATTGTGCCACTGCACTCCAGCCTTGGTGACAGGGCGAGACCGAGAGGAGACTCCCTCTCAAAAACAAACAACAACAAAAAAATAGCTGGGTGTGGTGGGGAGAGAGGGGAAGAATTGGGACAAAAAGGAATACATAAATAAATACAAAGGAGAAAAGGCCCTGCATGTACTAAGTAAATGTGTCATGAACTGGGAAGCGTTCGTGGCGCCTGTAATCTCAGCTTCTCGGGGTGGGGGGCTAAGGTGAGAGGATCACTGTAGCCCAGGAGGTCGAGGCTTCAGTGAGCCTTGATTATACCATAGCACTCTGGCCTAGGCAACCGATTGAGACCCTGTCTCTCTCTCTCTCTCTTTTTTTTTAACAACCATAAAAAAAAAAAAAAAAAAAAAAAACCTCTGCCTCAAAAAAAAAAAGGCATTAAGAATTGGGTCAATGGAGGTTGTCTAATCTTGTCAGACAAAAGGGACCTTTATGATTTGCTCAAACTTCCTTTCTCCCTGCCCAGGAGCCCCTCATTTCAGGATGCTGAATACTCCAGGAAAAACCTCCATGCATACCTTGGTGGGGATTTTAATATTTCACTCATGTCTCTTTCTGCCACCCCTACACATTTGAGCTCAGGCTCTCTAGGCCAAAGTTAGGAAACGGATGTGTCATTTAATCAGCAAATGTTTACTGAGCACCTATCATGGACCAGGCCCTGGTCTGGGAACTGACGGGGAGAAAGAACCAAACTACACTCCAGCCATTGAGCAGTTCACAGACCAATGTGGGAGGCCAAGGTGGACAGGCTGTTACTGTGCTGCAGTAGTTGAGGACTCAGATGGGTGCGGTATGGCCACTCTTGCCAGGTTATGAAGCAGAAAAAGAGGCTGGGAGATTTCACTGAGGGCTCAAGGGGAGGTGATGATTAAACTACAGCTTATGCGCTCTATACAAAGAAGTACAGAGGGCACTCTAAAAATAGGAACTTGTACAAAGGAAGCAAATATATAATTGGAAAGGGCTTACATGTCAACCCATGGCAGTGTGGGGCAAAAGGTAACAGGATCTGGTGTTTGTTGTGGAGGGTTGTCCTGGTGGATAATTTCTGTATATGTGGGACTTTGGGAGGAAGGCTTAGGACAAGTGAACATGAAATTTTAATCATCAGCACTTGTATTAATCATGAAGTTTGTCAAAGACAAATACAATTCCTTGTGCCTGATGATTGATTCAGGCAGAGTGGCTTGCTCTGGACAGACTGAATTAACCTCCTGGACTTTTTGGATAGAACACTCGCAAACAGTTCTGTTTTCTCAGCTAATTTATTTTATTTTTACTTCGATTTTTTTTTTTTTTTTTGAGATGGAGTCTTGCTCGGTCACCTAGGCTGGAGTGCAGTGGTGCAATCTCAGCTCACTGCAACCTCCGCCTCCCAAGTTCAAGCAGTCCTCCTGCCTCAGCCTCCCAAGTTGCTGGAATTACAGGTGCTTGCAACCATGCCCAGCTAATTTTTGTATTTTTAATAGAGACAGGGTTTCATTATGTTGGCCAGGCTGGTCTTGAACTCCTGACCTTGTGATCCGCCTGCCTTAGCCTCCCAGAATGCTGGGATTACAGGCATGAGCCACCGCAACCAGCTTTATTTTATTTTTAAAAATGTGGCCAGGCAATTTGGCTCACACCTGTATTCCTAGCACTTTGGGAGGCTGAGGCAGGCGGATCATGAGGTCAGGAGTTCAAGACCAACCTGGATAAATGGTGAAATCCCATCTCTACTAAAAATACAAAAATGGAAAAATAAATGAGCCAGGTGTGGTGGTGTGCCTGTAATCCCAGCTACTCGGGAGACTGAGGCATGAGAATTGCTTGGAACTGGGAGGCGGAGTTTGCAGTAAGCCGAGATAGTGCCACTGTACTTCAGCCTGGGCAAGAGGAAGACTGTCTCAAAAAAAAATAAAAGAATTACTGAGTTAATCATACTCCTCAGTTCATGATAGGGTAAACTAGTCCATGCAGGGCCTTTTTCTCCTTTTTATTTTATTCTCTTTTGTCCCTATTCTTCCCCTCCTCACCATAGGAAATCATTCTGATGTGTTTGGTGTATATCTTTTTTTTTTTGAGACAGGGTCTCACTCTGTTGCCCAGGCTGGAGTGCAGTGGCAGTCATGGCTCACTGCAGCCTTCCAGGCTCAAGCAATACTCCCACCTCAGCTTTCTGAGTATCTGGGACCACAGAGGTAATTTCTTTTGTAGAGATGGGGTTTTTCCATGTGCCCAAGCTAGTCTCGAACTCCTAAGCTCAGCAATCTGCCTGCCTTGACTTCCCAAAATGCTGAGATTACAGGTGTGAGCCATTGCTCTCTGCCTGTATGCATACATTTTAAATTTATATAAATGGATTGTGCTTAGACCTCATTTTTTCCTACCTCAGTGCCACGTGTGGATCTTATTGATGTTGCTCTGGGTATATATATATATTTTTTTTTTTGAGACGGAGTTTGGCTCTTGTTACCCAGGCTGGAGTGCAATGGCGCGATCTTGGCTCACCGCAACCTCCGCCTCCTGGGTTCAAGCAATTCTCCTGCCTCAGCCTCCTGAGTAGTTGGGATTACAGACATGCGCCACCATGCTCAGCTAATTTTTGTATTTTTAGTAGAGACGGGGCTTCACCATGTTGACCAGGATGGTCTCGATCTCTTGACTTCGTGATCCACCCGCCTCGGCCTCCCAAAGTGCTGGGATTACAGGCGTGAGCCACGGTGCCCAGCCACTCTAGGTATATTTGGGATGCAGTTTCTCTAAATGCTCCACAGGTTTCCATAGATGCATCCCCCACATTTTATTTACTTGATTCCTCTAGTGGTGAGGTCCCTAGATTGTTTCCTACTCCCTGCCACAGTGTAATCCTGTACCATCTCCTTCCTTAGCTCTGTAAGTACATTTCAAGATGCTGATTTGAGCTTGCCTTTGATAAGCCTGGTAGCTGTTGGTGTCTGATAGGGCCAGATTGTTTGACCTTTTTTAGTCATGTTTATTTTTGATAAATTGTGATTCTAGTTCCCAGATGCTCTTGGCCAACATGCTAATGTCCTGCCATCTTCCCCTGTTGATCATTCGCACAAACTCTGTGGTTAATTTTCTGTTTCTCATCATTAATGGTTGCTGTACACTCATTGCAGCATAGATATTTGCTGCTTTTCTTTCCTGGTGAAACAGTGGCCTGTGAAGCTGGTCCTGGGAGTACCTGTGATGGGAAGTACTTGGAGAAGGACTCTGACGCCTAGAGCCAGACTGTCTGGCTTCAGTTCCCAGCTCTTCCACTTCCCAGATGCCTGACCTTAGGCAACTGATTTAATCTTTGTGTCTCACTTTCTCATCTGCAAAGTGTGTCTAATCGTTGTACCTACCTTATAGTGTTTTAGTGAGCATTAAGTAAATGAGTTAATATATGCAAAGTCATTAGAACAGTGCATGGCATATAACAGGCCCCTATTTGCAATGTCAGCTGTTAGTAATAGCAATAATGATAATTACATCATTTCAGATAGGAGACCCTGTTATATTTTGTCAATAATGGGTCACATCCAGTTGCAGAGTGTTCAGAGGGAATGGTGGGGGGTGGGGTGGCATAGCTATGGACTCCATGACTATAGATTCCAGGGTTAATAGCATTAGCTGTAAGGAGAGAGGTTATAAACAGTCCCCAAGACCCTGGGTGCCATTTCCCTGTCACTTGTTCTCTGTTAGGTAGAGAGATGGTGGCTACAGATGGGCCTTGGTGCTGAGACCAGGACTGGTGGGAATGTGGAAGAGAGCCTGTGAAGCTGGGAGGATCTTGATGTTCACCTTGGACATAAGATTCTCTTTCTGATGTTCTTCCGTACCATTCTTTGAGAATGGGCATTTGGCTAGATTTGAATCTTTCAGAGGGAAACATGACAGAGCCCTCTCATTTCAAATCTCATAGATGGAAAGATGGGGAGGGAAATCAGCTCTGTCACAGACATTCTGAGGATTGCCTAAGCGTTCCGTGTCAAAGGCTGCTCTGAAATGGGAAGGAGCAGTGGCCCAGGATGGAAAGGATGCAGAAGGAGGCCCCAGTGGTAGGGGGAGGAGATAGGACAAGAAAAGTCAACTTTCTTTCAGTGGCATAATGAGGAGAGAAGGTCGTATTGCAGCAAAAGAGGCTCTATGTTGGGGATGCAGGCCTAGGGACCAAAACTGAAATAGAAGGGTGCAAAGTGACAGTAGAAGGAGCTAGGTGGGCACGGCCTAGAGATAGCTGCTGAAGATGCTGATATCTGAGCTAATTCAGAAGTGATGGGCCAGCCTCCCAAGTAGTCAAGGAGGTGAGGGTGACAGAGAGCAGGCCAGGTGAGGAAGCAGCATGTACCAGGGCACGGAGCTGTGAGAGAGCAAGGTTCTGTGCTTGTCCTCAGGTACGTAGCAGGTGAGGGTGAGGCAGGAGTGGTGGGCAAGCCCATCAGACAAGCATGGTTGGCAGTTATTCCCCAAGTTGTGTTTCCAAATATCAGCCACTCAAGGACAGCCTTTATGGCTTATGTTATTATATTATGTGGAAAAGCAGTTCCTCTAACTGTAAGAATGTGGCCATAATGACTGTATGAAAATACATGGGTTAGGCGTGGTGGCTTATGCCTGTAATCGCAGCACTTTGGGAGGCCAAGGTGGAAAGATCGTTTGAGCCCCAGGAGTTTGAGACCAGCCAGGGCAACATAGGGAGACCCCATCTCTATGAAAAATAATTTTCATTTATTCTTATTTATTTTTCTTCTTATTATTTTTTAAATAGAGACGGGGTTTCACCATGTTGGCCAGGCTGGCCTTGAAGTCCTGACCTCAGGCGATCCACCCACCTCAGCCTCCCAAAGTGCTGGGATTACAGGCATGAGCCACCACGCCCAAACAAACATATACTTTTTTTTTAATTGAGACAGCATCTTCCTCTGTTGCCCAGGCTGGAGTGCAGTGGTGTGATCTTGGCTCACTGCAACCTCCTCCTCCTGGATTTAAGCAAGCCTCTTGCCTCAGCCTCCCAAGCAGCTGGGATTACAGGCACCCATCACTGGCTAATTTTTTGATTTTTAGTAGAGACAGGGTTTCACCATATTGGCCAGGCTGGTCTTGAACTCCTGACCTCGTGATCCACCCTCCTCAGACTCCCAAAGTGCTGGGATTACAGGTGTGAGCCACCGCACCTGGCCTAAAAAATTGTTTTTAATTAGTCAGCTATAGAAGCACATTCCTGTGGTCCCAGCTACTCATGAGGCTAAAGTGGGAGGATCCCTCGGGCCTTGAGGGTCAAGGTGACCAGGGAGCTGAGATTATGTCACTGGACCCTAGCCAGGGCAACAACAGGAACTTGTTTCAAAAAAAAAATATATACGTGTAATATGATGTTACACAGTATATGGTTTCTAGTTAGAAGGTATTGCCAGCTAAGGGCTCTGCGAGGCCCGCTCTGTCTTCTGATTTAAAAGGGAGATGAACAAAGATTAAAAAGCATGAAAGGAGTTGAAAATGGAATAATTTTCTCACCATGATTCAGAAAAACCCTGTCCTCACACCAGCCTGCATCCTCCACTGGGCACCCCAGTGGAGTGAGGAGATGGGATGTTATATGCACCTATGTTTTAGTAAGCAGAGAACATTGATACATGATGTGGGAATGGTGAGAGGGATCTGAAGAGGTAGTCTGGGCACCCTGCCTGCTATGCCACTGTGGTCCAGATGGGGCCTGACCCAGCTGACCCTCCCCAGGCCGAGGCCACCATGGAGCAGTGTGCATGCGTGGAGAGAGAGCTGGACAAGGTCCTGCAGAAGTTCCTGACCTACGGGCAGCACTGTGAGCAGAGCCTGGGGGAGCTGCTGCACTACGTGGGCCAGCTGCGGGCTGAGCTGGCTGGTGCAGGTGGGTGGCCACCCTTGCAAGTGCCCTGCGACAGCCTCCCTGAGGACATGGGAGACCTGAAGCTACTGGGTGACAGGGTTCTGGAAGGACGATGATGAGGATGTTGGTACCTGCATCTCTAGGTCTCCTTGAAACCGGGTAATGACAGTCTCTGAGCTATTTCAAAAGGCCCAGCAGAAAATATTAATTTACCTGAGATGATTCCCATTTACATTTTGTTTTCAACTTGCTTCTCTACTCTTAGCTTTTTTTTTTTTTTTCCTTTTATAATTTTTTTTGTGTGGAGACAGTGTCTATGTTGCCTAGGCTGGTCTTGAACTTGTAGGGGCTCAAGTGGTCCTCCTACCTCAGCTTCCCAAAGCACTGGGATTATATGCATGAGCCACCAGGCCTGGCCTGTTTTCAGCTTTTAAAGATAATTTCAAATTTACAGACCAGTTCCAAGAGTAGTATAAAGAATGGATATATACCCTTTACTTAGATTCACCAGCTGCTCATATGTTGCCATATTTACCTTATCATTGCTTTTTTTTTTTCACATTTGCTAATATTTATGTAAACACTTGCAAGTCATGATACAATCACAGAGGAAACATATGAAAATATTTAGTATTTCATTGTATTCCTCTACATATAAAATCGGTTCAAATTGTCACTGGATTAGTAGGTTTGAAACTTTTCTGAATGTATTGAGCACAATCTTACTACTATAGCACATAAATTTTCCATTAAAGGTAATTCACTCTAATTTTTAAAATAATCTACTTGGTCAGGAGTGCATTGCTTTGCTGGCGTCTGTGATCAGCTGGAGATGGTGGTGAACAGTCCAGTTGCATTTCTTGGAAGATCTTTTATTCCGCTGCTTAGCCCAGGTTGAGCCTTCCTTAGAGACTGAGGATCATCCATCAGTTTCCCTGGAGAATGGCCTGCAGCCTCCCACTCAGGGCTTGGCTGTGCTCATCTAGGCCCTCCCAGGGCTGGAAGGGGTGTCCCTGGTGATCCACAAAGATGTCCCAACAGTGCTTAAACTCACTGTATTTCATCATGGAAATTAGGGCCCCAGCTCTGTTCAGCCTGCGCAGGCCCTTTTTATATCCTCGTTGATAACCATAGATGCGGGCAGCGAAGATGTGCAGGTTCACGTGTGGGTTCTCTTGAAGGAATTCAGCCACCTTCTCAGCACAGCTGAAGCAGGGGCTCCAGGAGATGAAGCAGGTGACCCTGTAGCGCTGGGCCAGGTCCAGCTTCCAAAAGGAAATCAGGTCCAGGAGGCACAGCTCTGCATGGCGGCCTTCAGGGAAAGCCGGATTATTTGAAGCCTCGTTGAATATGAAGGCCCTGTGCTGGTGCAGCGGGACCCAGGTGCCATTGTGCAGGTGCTCCACCTCGTAACACAGGTAGGTCTGGTGCTGTCCAAGGACCGAAGGGTCATTGGTAAAGTTGTAAGTGAATGTGCCTGGATCCATCAGGTGTCCGAGAACCTCCCCCAGCGTGATGTGCAGTAATGTATAATGTTTAGGCAGCTTATTCCAAGGCTTGTACAATCTTTGGTTGTCCATGAACTTGTCCCAACAGTGTTGAAATTCGCCATAACTTATGATCTTCATGGTGGCATGTGAACTGTCTCTTCTCTGACACAGTCTGCGAAGCTCCTTCCGGTAATGTGGGTCCCAGAAGTAGTAGAGGCGGGCCACGAAGATGGTCAGGGTGACCTTCCCGTCTATCATTGCTTTTTAACCATTTGAAAAATAAATTGCAGATAACATAGCCCCAAGCCTTCAATGTGTATTTCCTAAAATCAAGGGCATTCTCTTACATAAACACAGCATTATTAAAACCAAGGAATTGCCGGGCGCAGTGGCTCACACCTGTAATCCCAGCACTTCAGGAGGGTGAGGTGGGCAGATCACCTGAGGTCGGGAGTTTAAGACCAGCCTTACCAACATGGAGAAACCCCATCTCTACTAAAAATACAAAATCAGCCGGGTGTGGTGGTGCGTGCCTGTAATCCCAGCTACTTGGGAGGCTGAGGCAGGAGAATCACGTGAACCTGGGAGGCGTAGGTTGCAGTGAGCCGAGATCACGCCACTGCACTCCAGCCTAGGTGACAGAGCAAGACTCTGTATCAGAATAAATAAATACATAAAGTACAATCTGGATGGGTACGGTGGTTCATGTCTGTAATTTTGCACTTTGGGAAGCTGAGGTGGGTAGATCACTTGAGTCCAGGAGTTCAAGACCAACCTGGGCAACATGGTAACCCTGTCTACCAAAAATATGAATATTAGCCAGTCTCATAATCCGGTCTCAAAATTAATAAATACATACATTCAAAGATGAAAATTTAAAAACTAAAGTACAACTCAGTGGTTTTCAGCATATTTACAGAGTTGTACAATCTTCACTATTTATTTATTTATTTGAGGTGGAGTTTTGCTGTTGTTACCCCGACTGGAGTGCAATGGCACAATCTTGGCTCACCGCAACCTCTGCCTTCTGGGCTCAAGCAATTCTCCTGCCTCAGCCTCCCGAGTAGCTGGGATTACAGGCACGCACCACCATGCCCAGCTAATTTTTTGTATTTTTAGTAGAGATGGGGTTTCACCTTGTTGACCAGGATGGTCTCGATCTCTTGACCTCGTGATCCACCCGCCTCGGCCTCCCAAAGTGCTGGGATTATAGGCGTGAGCCACCGCGCCCGGCCCTCTTCACCACTATTTAATTTCAGAACATTTACATTTTTGTTTTGAGAACATTTTTATCACCCCCAAAGGAAACCTAACCCATTCCTCCCTCTCCCTAGCCTCTGGCAACCACTAATCTCTTTTGTGTCTCTATAGATTTGTCTATGTTGGACAGTTCACATAAAAGGAATCATACCACATGTAGCCTTTTGTGTCTGGCTTGGTTAACATGTTTTCAAGGCTCATTATGTTGTAGCCTGTATCAGCACTTCATTCCTTTCTGTGGCTGAATAATAGTCCATTGTATGGATGTGCCACATTTATCCACTAGTTGATGGACATTTGGGTTGTCTCCATCTTTTGGCTATTATAAATATTGTTGCTATGAATATTCATGTACAAGTTTTTGTGTGGACATATGTTTTCTTTTGGGTATATACTTATGAGTGGAATTGCTGGATCATATGGTAACTCTATGTTTAACTTGGCAGTTAAATACATAGAATCCTACGCATGCTATAGTCCATGAGTTAAAATAAATACTTCATCCATAGTAAGTGCCAAATCATCTTCATTTCACAGCAATCTGTAATTTTACAGATGAGGAAATGAAGGCTCCCAGAGGCAAACTGGCTTTTCCCACTTGACCAGTTCCAAGTCAGACAGTTAAAAAGTGGCAGGAGCTGGAAGAGAAGCTAGTTCTTTCACCCTGGTGTCCTGGGCCAAGGGACTGGCATTTAGAATAGAGGAGGCAGAGCTAACCTCTGGGTCTGCTGCCAAATCAGGTGTTCTGGGCTGCCTCCTCTGTGTCATTATTCCACTTTCTCTGCAGGTCTCCAGGGGACCCCTCTCTCGGCCACCCTCTCTCTGGTGATGTCACAGTGCTGCCGAAAGATCAAAGATACTGTGCAGAAACTGGCTTCGGACCATAAAGACATTCACAGCAGTGTATCCCGAGTGGGCAAAGCCATTGACAGGGTGAGCATGTATGTGGCTGGCTCCAGGACTGGGGCGGGAATATCCTGAAATTGGGATGTACAAGGACTCAAAGGAGAGCCAGCGAGAATGCCTGCATCACCAGGCCCTGTCTCTTTCTTGGTCAGAACTTCGACTCTGAGATCTGTGGTATTGTCTCAGATTCGGTGTGGGATGCACGGGAGCAGCAGCAGCAGCAGATCCTGCAGATGGCCATCGTGGAACACTTGTACCAGCAGGGCATGCTCAGTGTGGCCGAGGAGCTGTGCCAGGTACAGCCAGGCGGGGTGGGTGCTGACAACCTGCCTGCTCTGCCTTTCACCTGCTAGCTTTCATTATAGGAAGTCCCAGCCATTCTTTAAATCCATTTATTTCCTAAAGGAAATCAGTGGCTCTGCCAGAAATAGAAGGTAGCTTTAGAAACATGTATGATGAAAAGAGAAGTTACTCATTTCTAGTTAGAGCTGGTTGCCAGCCAGGGTTCTGAGCTGAGGCCTGATATCCCTTTATTGAAAAGGGAGATGAGTGAAATGACAAAGTAGTACTTGTTAGGTGTTAAAGACACGCTGGTGGTAAAAGTAAAGATTTTCCCTACTGTACTCGGAGAACTGAAGAGGAATAATTTTCTTGCCATACAACTCAGTGCGTGGCCTGGGGACTGTCTCCACTGCTATGGTTGTGGGGTGGGGTTTGCTGTCTGCACTCTGGAGGTCAGCATGTCACACTCAGCCACCCCAGGACTGAGCTGGGAACAAGAGAGGCCCAAATGGCTGGCAGGAGACTAAGTTCCTCAAGCAAAGCCCAAATCTCTCTGGCCTGTCTTTCTGGGTCAGCTCTTATGATGTACATAGTAGAGAACTTTGGAAACGCCATCTTCCAGTGGTGGGATCTCTTCTCTCTCTCCCTACAGGAATCAATGCTGAATGTGGACTTGGATTTCAAGCAGCCTTTCTTAGAGCTGAATCGAATCCTGGAAGCCCTGCACGAACAAGACCTGGCTCCTGCGTTGGAGTAAGGAGGCCCTTGGGTGGGCCAGCAGCACTCTGCTCCAACCTCTCAGGGCAGAGGGCTTGACTGTGGTCTTCACTTCACCCAGATGTACTTGACCTGCCTCCAGCCCTGTCTCAAGAGCCTCACACAGGCTTTTCGGGCCCTCCTCGCAGATCCTGGCTGTCAGGTCCTAGCCCCCACCAGCTCTACTCTAAACTGGCCCCTTTCTTCCCAGATGGGCCGTCTCCCACAGGCAGCGCCTACTGGAGCTCAACAGCTCCCTGGAGTTCAAGCTACACCGACTGCACTTCATCCACCTCCTGGCGGGAGGCCCTGAGAAGCAGCTGGAGGCCCTTAGCTATGCCCGGCACTTTCAGCCCTTTGCTCGGCTGCACCAGCGGGGTGAGTACTCAGGGGGCTGGGATTGTGCTGCCTGGCCCAACAGATGTCTGGATGTGGTGAGTTACATCAGGCTTCTAGTCCCTGCACCCAGGTGGGGCTGTCTGTTACCCAGATGCCTTTCCCCAACTAGAAACTTCTTTGACTCCTCACTGTGTCCAGGATAAACTCTAAACTCAAGGCCCTTCCCCTCTCACCTCTGTCATACCTGTAGTTTATACCTTCAGTGCAGACCACCTGGGGTCCTCGTGCCTGCCGTGCACCACACCACACTCAGAGCATGCCATGCCCGTCCCACCTGCTCTGCCTCATGTGCCTCCCTGATCTTGACGGCCTATGGAAAAGTCCCTTAAAAAAAAAAAAAAAAAGAGACTTGGCTTGGCTTATACCTGTAATCACAGCACTTCCAGAGGCCAAAGCAAGCGTCAGATCACTTGAGCTCAAGAATTCGAGACCAGCCTTGTTAACATGGCGAACCTCTGCCCCTACCCCATCTCTACAAAAAATAAAATTAAAAAGACTCACTTGAGCTCTCTTCCTGACATGCTGTGATTTCCAGACCTGGAGTCTAAGTCTCACCGTTGAGATGCTAATGAGTAGTAACCTGTACTAACTTGTTTCTTTAGTTCCACTCATATTTATTATTTTTATCTCAAAATAAATATGAAAACCAAGCCATGATTTTATTATTTATTTATTTATTTATTTTTGAGACAGAGTCTCACTCTGTTGCCCAGGCTGGAGTGCAGTGGCATGATCCTGGCTCACTGCGACCTCCGCCTCCTAGGTTCAAGCAATTCTCCTGCCTCAGCCTCCTGAGTAGCTGGGATTATGGGTGCACACCACTATGCCCAGCTAACTTTTTCTATTTTTTAGTAGAGATGGGGTTTCACCACGTTGGCCAGGCTGGTCTCAAACTCCTGGCCTCATGTGATCCCCCCACCTCAGCCTTCCAAAGTGCATGAGCCAACAGCCATGATTTCTTTTTTTTTTTTGAGACGGAGTTTCGCTCTTGTTACCCAGGCTGGAGTGCAATGGCGCGATCTCGGCTCACCGCAACCTCCGCCTCCTGGGTTCAGGCAATTCTCCTGCCTCAGCCTCCCGAGTAGCTGGGATTACAGGCACGCACCACCATGCCCAGCTGATTTTGATATTTTTAGTAGAGACGGGGTTTCACCATGTTGACCAGGATGGTCTCGATCTCTCGACCTCGTGATCCACTCGTCTCAGCCTCCCAAAGTGCTGGGATTACAGGCTTGAGCCACTGCGCCCGGCCAATAAGCCATGATTTAAGTTTTAGCTAGATACTGCTGCCTCTGGAGAGCTCTGAACCTGGGGTTGCTCTAAATGGAGATTAGTATGGAGACACTAGCACCAACCTGAGACTTATTTGTTCCTTGATGCAGTTGGGGAGGAAAGAAAACTGGAAAAGAACTGTCTTTCCTGATTCTGTGTTAGTAATGCCTCTTCTTGTCATCCAGAAGCAGCCTGGACCTCCATCTCTCCCCACTAGATTTTATAGTCACATTTGCCTGAGGGTGTTTCCATCCTTGCTCAGTCTGCTCAGGGGCCTGGGAGTTGCTGGGCTCAGCATATTGTGCTACAGTCTGGCCATCCCCTTGGGGTGGACCCAGAGCCCTGCACCCCCCTGAGCTGCTGCCCTGGTTGCCTTATAGAGATCCAGGTGATGATGGGCAGTCTGGTGTACCTGCGGCTGGGTTTGGAGAAGTCACCCTACTGCCACCTCCTGGACAACAGCCACTGGGCAGAGATCTGTGAGACCTTTACCCGGGATGCCTGTTCCCTGCTGGGGCTTTCTGTGGAGTCCCCCCTCAGTGTCAGGTACAACCCAGCCCCGTGAGGGCAACACAAGTGGGAGGGTAGAGAGGGAAATCATCATTTTGCCAAGGCCCTGCCATGTGCCAGGAACAGTGCTCAGTGCTTTCAGAGACCAAAACTGGCTTTCTTAGTCATTCTTCAGGAGAGGAATTACCTGTTTTTATAGTTAAACCGAGACTAGGAAGAGTTATAACCTGAGGTCACCATGAGGTCAGTGGCGTGGTCAAGGTTTACATTTTGTAAGGTCTCCTGAACGAAGTCCCTGCCTCTCTTGCACCTCACCCTGGATCACGGCAAGACCTACCCAGCTAACCCACACCCCTCTGCAGCCCGCCTTCCTCATGACCTCATTTCTTAAACACCACTTGCCTTCAGGGGAGATGTGAGTGGTTGAGTAACTTGTATTCAGCACTGCTTAGACGCCTCCCTCACAGCGCACAGCAACCCTGGGAGGAGAGGCACTGTTATCTTCATTCTACAGATGAGGACATGGAGGGTCAAGATGAGCATTCACTTGCCCAAGGCCTTACAGGGAATAAAGGGCACTTGGACCTGACCCCAGAGCCACACAGTCCACCACAGTGGACAGCTGTCCTGTGCCTTATAGGATATTTAGCATCTGAGGCTCCAGCCAATAGGCTCCCTTCCCCATGCAAGTGTCATGAGAACTGAATCCCCAACCTCCATTTTTTAAGCAGCCTAGTTGGTAGCTACCATTATAAAGATACGTTATGACTACATAGCAGGGTACAGCCTACAGGCAGGCTGGAGCCCTTTGGAACTGATCACTGTCCCCCAGTCACACCAAGGACATTTCATTCATTAGGATGAGCAGATATCTGCCCCTAGAGCTATAGGAAGCCTTTCCTGTAGGTTCTCAAATTTTGGGGTACATTAGAATGAGTCTAGAGTCAGATATACATTAAGTACGTATGTGGCACCTTACGAACAACGTGAGGGATTTCTGAGGACCAATTTGACCGTGCACCACTTTAGAGCCCTGTCTTAAGGTCCATGCTGAAGCATGGCGTGCTAGCCCCCTTGCCTGTCTGCTGTGACCTGAGCCGCTCTAGCCCCTGTTCCTTGTCTGCAGCTTTGCCTCTGGCTGTGTGGCACTGCCCGTGTTAATGAACATCAAGGCTGTGATTGAACAGAGGCAGTGCACTGGGGTCTGGAGTCACAAGGACGAGTTACCGGTGAGGCCTGGCCCAGGGAGTTGTGGGCAAGAGGCACTGGGGAGGACAGCCATGACAGGAAGTAGAACTCACCCCATTTGCTGCCCTTCCCAGATTGAGATTGAACTAGGCATGAAGTGCTGGTACCACTCTGTGTTTGCTTGCCCCATCCTCCGCCAGCAGACGTCAGATTCCAACCCTCCCATCAAGCTCATCTGTGGCCATGTTATCTCCCGAGATGCACTCAATAAGCTCATTAATGGAGGAAAGTAAGTTCCCTCTGCTCTACTCCACCTTGGCTTGGCTCTCCTACTGGCTGCCCCTGAGACATTCTTGGTTCTCCTCTCTTTGCAGGCTGAAGTGTCCCTACTGTCCCATGGAGCAGAACCCGGCAGATGGGAAACGCATCATATTCTGATTCCTACCTGGAAGTTTGTTGAAAGCAGTTTTCACCTATGAGCCTTGCTCTGTCTCAGTAGGGTGGTTAGCTTCAGTGGACTGTGGTTGGTTTGAGTGCTTGGCTGAGGAGTTCTGTGGAGGGTAGGATTGCAGCAGCCCTTTGGCAAAGGCTGAGGAGGGAGACGGACCAGCCCACACCTGGCAGCTGGCTCTGTGGCATAAGGAAAGGGAGATGCTGGCCTCTCTGCTGCTGCTGTGTCTTCCTGTTTCTATTTGCCCTTGACTTAGTAGCAACCAACAGAGTGGCAAAGGACCTGGTCTTTAGCAGCAGACATCCTTCCATGCCTGCACTCAGCCAGGTCTCTTGCTGCCATGCCAGTGCTATGTCCACCCTTGTCCCTCGGCCCAGGGGTGTCCAGTGGTGGCCCACATCTTCCTCCCGCTGTACAGCCTCAACTGTTATGTACCATCTCCCACTGTAAATAGTCCCAGTTAGAACGGAATGCCGTTGTTTTATAACTTTGAACAAATATATTCACTGCCCTTCTCACTTCTCCTGGCCAACCTTTAACCTCACTGACAAATTATGCCCATATGTCTATCGCACACAGGTGCTAGGCATGGCCTGGTGGCTGCTGCAAACAAAACCATGGTCAGCAGGTGTCAAGTGTGCAGGCAGAAAGAAACCAACCTGCATCTCTGACTGGGGGAGCTTAGATGTCGGACCCCAGGCAAGGTGCTTTTACATATACACATAGCAGATCTTATTACATCCATAGGAGAAATCTGTGTAATGGGATTCAGGAAAATGAAATAACTTGCACAACCAGGCTCACAGCTTGGAAAGGAGAGAGCTTGGAGTTTTAACTAGATCTGACCCTCAAGCCCAAGCTATTTCGTTTATTCCAGGGTGCCTGAAGCTTGGTCGCTATGTGTACTGAGTCCTGTGCAGGGCCTCTGACAGCAGGAAGGGGCCAAGTCTAAAATGTTTGAAGGGACTGAGTTACTAGGGCCATTATGTTAAGCGAGAGATGGCCTGGTGGGGATACATTTTAGCTTCATATTCCTATTTAAAATTTACTTCGTGGGTATGTAAATTGCTTCCATAAGCTTCACGGTGCATTTAAAGCTCCTGGGGGAAAGGTAGGAATGGTGGTGTTTCCGGATGTGGGGGCTTTAGGTTTCCATGAATTGGGTCTGGGCCCTCTGCCTTATCTCACAGCCCCCATCTACCCTGGAAGAGGGAGTTGAAAGCGCTGGGGTGGATAGCAGGACCAGTTTGCAGCTTGAGCCAAAGTACCCAGTGCCGGGCAGCTGAGCATTAGCACAGAACCCTCTGAGTCCTTCAGGCTCTCTGGTGAGGGAGATTGGTACACCCTTCCTGCCCACCAACTCCTTGGCCCCACCAACAGCTGCCGCTTAAGAAAACACCCACAGACTTTTTAGCATTTACTTTCCCCACCACACATTCACTTAACTGTATGTGTTTGAAACAGCCTTCACTTAAGTTCCATGGCACTGATGAAGAGAAGGCTGGTGTTACTTCATGAAAGGGCTGTCAGAGCTGCCTGGGAAGAAGGCGTGCCTTGGGGAACTGGGAAGATGCCGTCAGTGTGGGTGGGCAGGAGGACAGCCAGTCATCCTGCCACCAGCCCAGTAGCTTCCAGAGGCAGGTGCCCAGGTCCTGCCGGGGCCCCTCACAGTGCTAGGGGCAGGGACTGCACCTCCTCCAGGCACTCGTCGTAGGCCTCCTGGTACTCCTCATGGGGCTTGACCATTATCACACAGGTGGGGCGCTTGGAGCCTGCAGCTGCACCCAGGTCCTACAGAGGGGAAGGAAGTGCTGTTTGGAAAAAAGGCTATACAACCTGTAGGACAGGAAGTCACAACTGATGACCCCCCAGCCTAATCTGGCCCACAACTATGTTCTGTTGGGTCCATGTTCTATTTAAAAGCATCTTGGATTGGTTGCCATCATTTAAACTCAATCAGACCTTTGAGCCATGGTTCAGCCACATAGGGCCTACATTCCCACATGACAACTATGAAAGGGCTCCAGCCCAGCAGGAGTTGTCCCCACAGACAGGGCCTATGCTGTCCAGGTCCCTGCCATCCCCCACTTCCTGTGCCTCAGATCTGGTCCCTGCTATGTAAGATACAGACAGCAACAGGTTCCTTTGAGCCTAAACCCACCTAACAGGACTAACATGGGTGAAGCATCTTAGCTTATAAAGCTCGTCCACATACATCTGTTTTCATTCTTGGAGTCCACAGAAGACTGACAATTCAGTTCTTATCATCACGCCGGATGGTAAGCTCTTTCAGAAAAATAGGGCCTCTCCCTGCTTTATCCCAAGAAGTGATATTGTAGGTACTCAAGATCCACCCCCAGCCTTTTTTCTTTTTCTTTTTTTTTTTTCAAGACAGGGCCTCACTCTATCATGCAGTCTGGAGTGTGGCGGTATACAATCATGGCTCACTAGAGCCTTGAACTCCTGGGCTCAAGTGATCCTCCTGCTTTAGCCTCCCAAGTGGCTGGGGTACGGGCATTTGCCACTACACCCAGCTAATTTAGAAAATTTTTCTTGTAGAGATGGAGTCTCTCTTTGTTGCGCAGGTTAGTCCTGAACTCCTGTCCTCAACTGATCCTTCCATCTTGGCCTCCCAAAGCACTAGGATTACAGGTATGATAGCACCTGGGCTGGGATTCCCATTTTACAAGATGAGAACTGAAATGTAAGAGGTAACTTATCTGTAGTCCCGTAACTAAGAAGACAGAGCCGAGAATCCATCCAGGCCTGTCTTAGCTCCAACCATCCAGGCTCCCCATCTGTCCTGCTATGGCAGACAATAACCCAGACACCCCAGGGCTGAACAAGGTCAGGGGGCCATGTGCTCCTTACCGTCTTAGAGGGGATATAGACATAGGGAAGATTTCGGTCCTCACACATGACTGGGAGATGGCAGTATACCTCAATGGGCAGTGTGTCCCCTGCCAAAACCATGATCCTGAAATGAGAGAAACCACTGTTGTTCTGGCTTGCACCTTCTCTCTTTCAGCTGTAAATGCTGCCCTGGGCTGGGTCTTAGGGGTAGAGAGAAAATTGTTTGGTGAGTGCATTCTTCACGGGAAGTGATCTCTACCTCTTGGGAACATGTAAGTGCCACCAAAATGATGTAGTGCTGGGACAGCTGAAGTACAGGACGGGTGTCAAGGAGTAAGAGCTCAGCTTTCCTTGGAGAGTCAAAAAAGGTTTCAACCAGGAGGTGACACTTGAACAGAAAGTTGAATGACGACTGTGTGTCAGGGAGCCCATTGAGGGGCTGAAGGTGGGGAGAGCATGTGGTGGGAGAATCAGAATGGCATCAGGCATAGCTGGAGGGCTGGAGAGACTGGCAGGGGACACCTCCAAGGCCTTGAGTACCAGGCTAAGAAGCATGGTCTGTGTCCCAAGAGTGACAGTGAGGCAATGAAACCTTACCAGAGACTCCTCAGCCAGGGTTCCTAGCTGGCCAGGTGTCAGGACTTGGGGGCAAGGGCCTCAGGAGCCTGAGGACACAGAAGGAAAGTCTGCTCTCCCAGGCTGGGTAAAGGCAGACACACCAGGACCAGCTCCCCTTCTGTTAAACGCCTTTAACTGTGAGTTCCTCATAGCCTTGTCCTCAGCTGCCCTCTCCTCAGTACCTTCTTCCTGGCTGACCGGAGCCACTGCCATGGGGTCAAGTGCCATCAATGTGCCGATAAGTCCCTGATCTACTTACTATCTCCAGCCTGGCCCTCTCTCTTCCAAGCTCCAAACCCCTACAGCCATCTGCCTATTTAACAGTTCTCCTGGTGGGGAGAGGGGAGGAAGTCATGTGTCTCTAAAGTACCTCCAAAACTTATCAAAAACCAAACCTGTGATGTTTATTTTTGAGATGGAGTCTCTGTCACCAAGCCAGAATGCAGTGGCACGATCTCAGCTCACTGCAGCCTCCACATCCTGGGTTCAAGTGACTGTCCTGCCTCAGTCTCCCATGTAGCTGGGACTACAGGTGCACGCCACCACACCGGCTAATTTTTGTATTTTTAGTAGAGACAGGGTTTCACCATGTTGGCCAGAATGGTCTCAATCTGCTGACCTCCTGATCTACCCACCTCGGACTCCCAAAGTGCTGGGATTACAGGCATGAGCCACGACATTTGGCCAACTTGTGATCTTTCTAGTCCCCCTCCACTGTTCACATCTCAGACGGGGCCCTCTGTCCCTCCAGCTGGGCCTGTCAGAACCTAGAAGTCATCAATACCTTCTCATTCTCCACATCTAAAAGTCCTCTCAAATCTATTTCCTTTAACTCTGTCTCCACCATCACCTCTCCAGCACTACGGTGGTCTACTATCTGAACATTCCCAAACCTACTCTTACCTCTCTAATCCTTTCATCAATTGTCGGAAATTTTTGGGTGTAAAAAATAATAAAAATTATGTCACTTCCTGGCTTTAACCCCCAATGGCTTCCAAAGCACTGAATACAAAAACTAAATTTACTGTGGGCTACAAGGTCCCCTAAGAAGGGGGTTCACCAGATCCCCCTTCCTGCCCTGAGGCCCACTCCTTCTTCTGGCAGGATCCTCCGATCCCACTCCAAAATTAATCCCTGTGTTTTTTTTCTTTTTTTTTTTAGACAGCATCTCGCTCTTGTTGCCCAGGCTGGAGTGTAATGGTACAATCTTGGCTCACTGCAACCTCTGCCTCCTGGGTTCAAGCACTTCTCCTGCCTCAGCATCCTAAGTAGCTGGGATTAAAGGAGCCCACCACCATGCCCGGCTAATTTTTTTGTATGTTTAGTAGAGCTGGGGTTTCACCATGTTGGCCAGGCTAGTCTCAAACTCCTGACCTCAAGTGATCCACCCGCCTTGGCCTCCCAAAGTACTGAATAACAGGCGTGAGCCATGCACCCGGCCATCGCTGTGTCTTTTTTTTTTTTTTTTGAGACGGAGTTTCGCTCTTGTTACCCAGGCTGGAGTGCAATGGCACAATCTCGGCTCACCGCAACCTCCGCTTCCTGGGTGCAGGCAATTCTCCTGCCTCAGCTTCCTGAGTAGCTGGGATTACAGGCACGCGCCACCATGTCCTGCTAATTTTTTGTATTTTCAGTAGAGACGGGGTTTCACCATGTTGACCAGGATGGTCTTGATCTCTTGACCTCGTGATCCACCCACCTCGGCCTCCCAAAGTGCTGGGATTACAGGCTTGAGCCACCGCGCCCGGCCGCCATCCCTGTGTCTTAAGATCTCAGCTCAAATGGGACTACTGAGAGAAACTTCCCCTGATGTGCCCTCCCAACTAGGTTAGACACCATTAAGCATCAAGTCTGCCCAACATTATTGATCTCTTGTGCACCTTCAGTTTCACTTCTTGGGATAAAGCAAGGAAAGGCCCTGTTCTGGAGCTTACCATTTGGCCTGAGAGGATGATACAGGGAAGAAAAATGTAAAGAAGCTTCAAATTTTGATAAATGCCATTAAGAAAAGTGGGGTAATGAAACAATTCTCATTGCATTCTGTTATTTTCCTTCATGGCTATCACAACGTTTAATTATTTGTGTGTGTGATTATCTGATCAATGAATGTTACTGTTTCTCCCATAGCACAGTGCCTGAAAAAGAGTACACACTCAATCGTTAAGGTTACCAGGTGTGGTGGCTCATGTCTGTAATCCCAGTGCTTCTTGAGGCTGAGGCAGGAAGATCTCTTGAGCCCAGGAGTTCAAGACAAGCCTGAGCAACATGACGAGACTCCTCTGTCTCTGCAAAACAACAATTAGCCAGGCGTAGTGGCGCAAGCCTGTGGTCCCAGGTACTCGGGAGGCTGAGGTGGGAGGATCGCTTGAGCCCAGGAGGACAAGGCTGCAGTGAGCTGTGATTGCGCCACTGCACTCCTGCCTAGGTGAGAGACCCTGTCTCAAAAACAAACAAAAACATTAATACTCAGCCCCTTAAATACAGAGTTAGAGAGGGGCCACCCCTAGGACAGATTCAAGGCTGAGCGGATTAGGGCGAGGGCTCGAGGCAATCTGAGGCAAGGAGCGGAGACTGGGGAGTAGGATCCCTGAATGAGTGAAGCTGGGTCTAAGGAACTTGGCTTACACAGTTCGCTTCACCCTGGAATTCACTTTAAGCTCGTGTCGGTATTGTACTAAAGGGACTTTACTGACTGCTTAACTGGCTTCTGTATATGGGGCTAGGTCAGAGTCAACATTTTACTGCGCACCTACCACGTAGAGATTTCTCAGTTAGCGTTTAGAAATGCAAAATCTAGAGGAAAGAGGGTTCTTACCCTTTTCTCCTTTGTTGACAAATTTCTGAACCTCTTTCACCCCGCGCCGAATCTGCTTCTGCTTCACGGCTGCAACGACAGAAGAGTAGGTCGGGGGCCTCTCCACGCCACCCGCGCCCCCACCCGCGCCCCCACCCGGGCCACCTCGGCTCTCGCCTCACCTTTCTTGATGCATTTGTAGAGCTTCCGCGTGAGGCGACGAGAAGCCAGGGGCTGCGCGATGGGGTTTTGGTTGACCAGCAGCTCTTGGTAGGTGCGCTCCCCGGAGCATGCCTCCGCCTGACCCTCGGGCCGGTCGGGATCTGCCTTTATTTTGGTCATCGCAGCGGCCGCGGAAACCTAGTCCCAAAGAGGCTAGACCACGCGGTCCGCAGCTTTAGGCATTACTTCCGGGCTACCAGCTGCACGAGAAGCCGCCGTGCAACACGGCCAATCAGGAAACGAGGTCTCCGACTCAGTCCTATCGTTGATGATCAGCTTCGAAACTACGGAGCGGAGAGGGGCGGAGTCGCGATCGTAGGGGCGGGGCCGCCCCCGACCAAGGAGCGGGGCGGGGCGAATAAGGGCGGAGCCGAGGGAATGTGAGGCAAGGGGCGGGGCCCTGGGGGAAGCAGGGCCTAAGGGGGCGGGGGCGGGGGCGCGGCCGGGGCCCGGGGCGGCGCTGGAAAGGGTGCTTCCTTTCTTGCATAATTTTCTTTCTTTCTTTTCCGTCCCTTGGACCCCGATGCGCAGGTGTGAAAGATACAGAGCAAGGGCTCACCCCACTAACCTGCGTGCGTCTGCACCATTTTTCTCCAGATAGGGCGTGGCTCGCTCTCTTCCCTCAGGGTTCTGCTCCAGTGTTTTCCATGGGAGAGGTTTCCCCGTTTTTATCTAAAATTGCAGTCCCCTCCCTCCCCCACCAGCATCCTTTCACCCGCCACTTTCCCCGCAGTTCTTACCTCTGCCTGACGCTGCAAACGCTGAGGGCCTAGCTGAGAAGTCAGACGACGCTAAGGGGAGGACGACTGGATTGAAGCCAGGAACAGCTGAGGGAAGACTTTGGGGACTGAGGTCCCTGGCGGGCTCGGGGAGAGCTGTGAAGAGCCACCCGCTGGTGGGTAGAAGGCTAAGGGACAGAGCCTCCAGGGAGTGGGAGGCGGTGGCAGGCCGAGATCTAGTGGATCTTGGTATCTCTGTTAAGCCTCTTCCACTGTGTTTTGGAACTCTGGATGGATATTAATTAGATAATTGCTACAAATGACTAACTTGTAATACTAATTACCTTTGATCCTGATGTGGCAGGCCTGCCATTTTTATATTGCTAGAATAAGCCAGTAAATAGAAACTTAGAAGTGTTCTGGTGGCTGTGGGAGTAAGGTCAGTTAAACTAACTTAAAAATTGGCCTTTCCCCAGTGTGATGACACGTGCCAGTGGTCCCAGCTACTCAGGAGGCTGAGATGGGGTTAGCTTGAGCCCAGGAGTTAGAGGCTGCAGTGAGCCATGACTGCACCTGTGAATAGGCACTGGCAGTCTGGGCCACAGAAGAAAATCCTGTATCTTAAAACAAACAAAAAAAACTTTTAACACTGGAGCAAAGGTGCAATAAATTTGTTTATTTTGCATTAAATAAAAACAAAATAGGTTTTTACGAGGAGCCAGTGGCTCATGCCTGTAATCTCAGCACTTTGGGAGGTCGAGGAGGGCAGATCTCTTGATGTCAGGAGTTCGAGACCAGCCTGGCCAACATGATAAAACCCCATCTTTAATAAAAATTTAAAAATTAGCTGAGCATGGTGGCATGAGCCTGTAGTCCCAGCTACTTGGGAGGCCGAGGCAGGAGAATCACTTGAACCTGGAAGGCAGAGATACTAGTGAGCTGAGATTGTACCACTGCCCTCCAGCCTGGGTGACAGAGACTCTTAAAACAACAATAACAGAATGTTTATTTTTAATTCAGTGTTTTATTTTATTGTTTATTTATTTACTTATTTTTAGAGATGAGATATCAGTATATTTGTTGCCTAGGCCGGCCTTGAACTCCTGATTTCAAAGAATCTCTGCCTTAGCTTCCTAAGTAGCTGGTACTATAGGTGCACCTGTATCTAGCTTAAAATTTAGTATTTTTAATTTTTTTTTTTTTTTATGTTTCGTAGAGACAGGGTTTCACAATGTTGGCCAGAATAGTCTTGATGTAACCTCCTGATCTGCCTGCCTCAGCCTCCCAAAGTGCTGGGATTACAGGCATAAGCCACTGCACCAGACCTTACATTTAGTGTTTTAATAAGAGAAATTATGATGTAATCCATCTTAACTTTAGACCTCCCAAAAACTCTTCACAAATAGAAAAATATATCAGTCATCAATCAACATGCTATATAAACAGTAAAAAACAATTTGAAAGTAAATAAGGGTTGTACATACAATGTAAAACAAATTGATCCTTTAAAGATTTTTGTTTTGCAGTTTCTTTCTTTCTTTCTTTTTTTGAGACAGTTTTGCTCTTGTTGCCCAGTCTGGAGTTCAATGGCAAGATCTTGGCTCACAGCAACCTCCACCTGCTGGGTTCAAGCAATTCTCCTGCCTCAGCCTCCTGAATAGCTGGGATTACAGGCATGCACCACCACGCCCAGCTAATTTTGTATTTTTTTTTTTTTTTTTTGAGACAGAGTCTTGCTCTGTCACCAGGCACCAGGCTGGTTGGAGTACAGTGGCTTGGCTCACTGCAATCTCCACCTCCTAGGTTCAAGCAATTCTCCTGCCTCAGCCTCCCTAGTAGCTGGGACTACAGGCACACACCACCATGCCCAGCTAATTTTTGTATTTTTTAGTAGAAACGGAATTTCACCATGTTGGCCAGGATGGTCTTGATCTTTTGACCTCATGATTGGCCTGCCTCGGACTCCCAAAGTGCTGGGATTACAGGTGTGAGCCACCGCACCTGGCCTAATTTTGTATTTTTAGTAGAGATGGGGTTTGTCCATGTTGGTCAGGCTGATCTCAAACTCAAGACCTCAGGTGATTCACCCTCCTCAGCCTCCCAAAGTGTTGGGATTACAGGCATGAGCCACTCTGCCCAGCCTGTTTTGCAATTTCTTGAGAAAAGATAGCTCCCTCCTGAGCTCTAGGTTACTGTCAGCTTTTGTCTTCCTGCTGACAACTTTGCCAAACATTCCCTACCACATACTCTCCCCACCCTTCTCCCTCCTCTTCTGTCTTGTAATAGTGGTTCTGACTCTCCCTGGAAATCCTTTCTTAAGTGTCATGTGAGATCTGTGAGAGCAGCTCTGTGGCCTCCTCCAAGCTCACAGCTGGCAGGACTCTGCAGGGCGGTTTTCTGTTCTTGTTTCTGAGAGGTGTTTCTGCTTTTTAGGACAGATGAAAATGTTCCAGGTTCACCAAGAGGAGAATTACTGCCAGCTGTGTGCATGGGGCACAATGAACTCTGTCCACAAGAGTGATGGAGAATTTCATTCCTGAGAAACCCAATTCAAACAAATTCAACAAATGCGTTTGCTTAACTGACATCACTCAGAGCCTCAGTTGCAAAGTCCTTTCAGTTCTTACATGGATGAAAGAAGAAAGTTAACATTTATATGCCGAGCATATTACATACAATATCTCATTCAGTGCCCACCCAAAAATACCTTTATTACCTTTACCATATCTCTCAGTCTGGTAAAGACTTTACCGTTCCTTTTCCAGGAATATATACCTTTATATTCACAATTTACTGAGACACATAAAGGTGAATAATTTGGTACAGCTCACACAAAGCTGGATTTGAACCCCGGTCCACTTGTTTCCAAGCCCAGACTTTACCCATACCTTGTGATTTGACATTTGACTTTAGTTCTAAAGGATATGTAAATAGTGAAAGTATAGAAACCTCAGCTTGGCCCATGTCACACGTGTCAGCATTTCGAGCCATAAGACAATGAAGTGCTGAGAACAAATACGTCCTCAGAAAACCACACTGTTTTCTTGGGATTTTTGTTTTTGTTTCTGAGACAGAGGCTCCCTCTGTTACTCAGGCTGGAGTGCAGTGGCACAATCTGGGCTCACTGCAACCTCCACCTCCCAGGTTCAAGCCGTCTTACTGCCTCAGCCTCCCAACTAACTGGGATTACAGGTGCCCACCACCACACACAGCTAAGTTTTGTATTTTTAGGAGAGAGGGTGTTTCACCATGTTGGTCAGGCTGGTCTTAAACTCTTGACCTCAGGTGATCCACCCACCTTGGCCTCCCACAGTGCTGGGATTACAGATGTGAGCCACTGCGACAGCCTGTTTTCTTTTTTTGTTGTTAACACACTGTGTATTTCTAAAGCCGGACTCAGAGATCTGTTATGGATCCAAGCTGTTCTGCATGACTTTATTGCTTTATTGACTTTTTATTTTGTTGAAATGGCTACTTGAGCTTACTCTTTTTTCTCTTTCTTTCGAGAGGGAGTCTCGCTCTGTCATCCAAGCTGGAGTACAGTGGCACAATCTTGGCTCACTGCAACCTCCGCCTCCTGTGTTCAAGCAATTCTCATGCCTCAGCCTCCTAAGTAGCTGGGATTACAGGAGTGCACCACCATGCCTGACTGATTTTTGTATTTTAGTAGAGATGGAGTTTCACCATGTTAGCCAGGCTGGTCTCAAACTCCTGACCTCAAGTGATTCGCCTACCTTGGCCTCCCAAAGTGCTAGCATTACAGGCACTGTGAACCACTGTGCCCAGCCAAGCTTACTTTAAGCAGTGTACAGTGAGTGATAACATAATGATGAATGGGTGCTAGTCAGGGCTCTAAATGACAAATGACTTTAGGCAAGTCATTTAGCCTCTCTGGGCTTCAGTGCTTCACCTATAAAGTGAGAAAGTTAGATCTAGGTGGACTAAAGTCTCATCTTTTAAAAAATTGGGGAGGATTTTTAAAATTTAATTTACGTATTTATATATATACTTAGAGAGAGAGAGAGAGAGAGAGAAAGAGAGAATCTCCTGTGTCGGTCAGGCTGGAGTGCAGTGGCTGAATCATAGCTCACTGCAGTCTTGAACTCCAGGACTCAATCAATCTTCCCACCTCAGCCTCCTGAGTAGGTGGGACTACAGGCACACACCACCAAGCCAGCTAATTTTTGTATTTTGTGTAGAGATGGTGTTTTGCCATGTTGCCCCAGTTGGTCTCTAACTCCTGGGCTCAAGTGATCCACCCGGCCTCAGCCTCTCAAAGTGCTGAGATTACAGGCATGAGCCACCTTGACCAGCCAAAAATTGAGGTATTACCAGGCACAGTGACTCACACTTGTAATCCCAGCACTTTGGGAGGCCGAGGCGAGAGAATCTCTTGTGCCCAGGAGTTTGAGGCCAGCCTGTAGGAGGATGACCTGAGTCCGGGAGGTCAAGGCTGTGGTGAGCTGTGATTGTG